ACACCTTGTGTAGTCATCACTACTGCCGTTGTAGTGTACCATTTTCACCTCCAGCGTGTAGTCGCCGGGGTCGAGGGGACGGAAGCGCACAACCCTCGCCACACGCCCGTGCCCGTCTTGCACAGCCCCGCCACCTGCAGGAGGCACCACCTCCGCATCCAGCACACGGTTGGCATTGAAGAGACGGGCTCTGAACAGCACATCTTCGCTGCACGCATCCGCATCCGAAGCCACCGCCTCCATGCACTGCCCACACTGCTCAATCACAACGTCCTCACTCCACTCCCCCGCCCTCACCGTCACCACACTCGGCAACTGTGACGGCTGGGGGCGCCCGGTACGCACAACAAACACATAGCGCAGCTCCCCACCCGTTAGACGTGAGAGCAGGTAGCGTCCGCACACGGGATGTGGACCTACAAACAAGAATCCACGACGGTCACGCAAAGGTCTCTTGGAGTGCTTATTGCGCCCAGCGGCAATTGAAATCTCACGCTGGTGTTGTGTGCGCAGCTGGGCACACGTCATGCGACGGTACTCTCGTGGCTGTAGCATCATCGACAGACTATCCGCTCTCCACGATTCCGTGCGCGACTTCACTATAGTTGACAGTGTTTCTGGAAGGTAAGCAGAGTAATTCAGATTATAATCACTATCATCCAGAGCGGGTGTCAGTCTTTCTTGGACAGGAGAAACAATTTCTTCTGATAAATGGGGTGATGATATGCCCCCATACCAGAATACGGTGTATATGAGCATAACAATAGTGGGCACCACACAAAACAACAGCAAGGGCATGCTGCGTAGGCGGGGTGCGATTTTGAACGGCATCCTTGTGTCCCTTAGTTTCTATAGACATGGAGTATGGGGAAGTATGTGGGAGCGCAGAGAAGCAGGAGGAGGATGGACCACAGAAGGTCCAGTTTATCAAAATTATCAGAAATCAGCATATGGTGCCCTAGGCGCTGTAAAAAGCAAATCGGTATGCCACACGTTTTTATCCCTACAGACAGACTGCAGTCACAGTGATTCACACTGATCCACGGCACATTCACAACTGCGCTACGGCAAGTGGGAACCCCACCATAGCGCACAGATTCTCATTCTGTGAGTGTGCAAGTGTGTGTGTGTGTGTGTGTGTGTGTTTTACCTGCATTGCCACCACAAACACAACCAGCAACAGACTCTTTGCATGTGGTAATAAGCAGAAGAAATATGTAGCTCTAGTGAAAGAAAATGTATGCATTATCATAAAAATGAATGTAGTATTTGCATTCCTTTGCAAATGGCTGTCTTCAACAGACTCACTAGGAGAAAAATAATCATCCATAATGCAAAGATAATAATTATAAAAGATCAAATCTTCATCAATGCATTGTAGTAGCACAGAGGATAAAGGAAAAGAAATCAACTGTGCTTAAAGGAACATGCAAATACCTGGAGATTGTGAAGAACCCTTGAGTACACAAACGGCATTGTTTCGATTATCTGTAGTGTGTTATTTCTTATATATATATATTGTTGATCACAGAACGCCCTGTGAACCCTCCTGTCTTGAATGTGTGGGTGTCAGTGCATCCAAGCGAATAAAGCCAGTCTTCTGCAGTCGCTCATACGCCAGACGATCCCACTCAACCTCCCTCTGGTGGGTCATGCCAGAATGCGCATATTGCACTGTGGGTGGAGACAACCACACGGCCCATTCCACGTGCGATAATCAAATATCTTTCTTTTTCTTTCGCACGTTCAAAGTGTGTTTAACTATATTAAAATGTGCATTGTTATATCTTTTCCTCGTACTGATTCTTCTTGTGTTTAAAAAATATTACGGTTATCAGTAAGAAGAACCTTTTTAATTCTCTTTTTGCCAGAGACGATTTTAGATGATGATGATGATGGTGATTATTATTATTATTATTTTGACTCCTTCAGTAGTTCACCCTTTAAAACTGTGATTTTTCCCTTTTCTTAATTGAGGGTATAATTAGGTGCTGTCCTTTAGTAAATGTCGGCATATTAGCTGAACAGCCATATCAAAACTAACAGAGCCTGTTAATTCGTATACTGGAGGTGTTTCAGACCCTTTACCTGTGAATAGTATGCTATCCAGGGCTTCAAATGCGCTAGATTCATCATAAGTAGAACGAATAAGGTAATGTCCCTTGAAAAGTGCAGTACTACTTTTTTCAGCAATAGCTGTTAACGTTTTTTGTTTATCTAATATTGTTTGATGTTGAAAACATTTCGGGTTTATACTTGACTGTGGAAGTGATAGTTCTTGGATGTCCCAATTCAAAACAACTATACCTTTAAGTCGTCCAAACCAAGTAGGAGACCAACGTTGGGACCCAAATGCTTCACTGATATTAACTTGGTATCGAGATGCCATATTCCATATTACATTTTCACTATTTTGCAGAATTTTATGAATGATACTTGTAGAATAGTTAAAATCCTGGGAAACCTGTGCTAATATTGGATTTGGACGAAGTGTTCCTATAATAGCACCTATGCCCACTTTTGCAGATGAAGGAATACCCATCAGAAGAAATATTGACCCGTCTCCGCTTGTTGATCTATTTACAACAGCAGTTGATGGTGCAAGATGAAAATTTTCAAGACCTATTAGACGAAGAGAAGACGATGAATTAGCTAAACAATGTAAGGCAAGAGTGGTTTTCCCACTTTTTCTTGATCCAAGAATAAGAACGGCATTTCCATTGTCATCACACAGAGCTGATCCGTTCAACCAAACTGAACGATACAAAGGGAGTACAGCGCTAGCATGTGCGAGATTAACAAGTCGACTCACATCATCTTCACTAATCTCTGAGTTTAAAGATTCAGTAGAGCTAAATATTCCCCACGAAGACAATAGATCGTTAGCAAAGTAGTACGGTGAAAGTTCATATGGTGAGAGTCCTAGGTTTAATTTTCGGGCCATCATCAGTGTATGCGACATAGTTTCAGTATTCAAGCCAACATGTGAAGTCACTCGTCGAGAGATAAATCCATCTATAAGTGGTTGTGTTAACCAACGTGTTGAGTGCGGAACTTCCGCGATATCAGTTTCTTCCCAAACAGATTTTTCCTCACTTCGTCTAACTGCTTCAGTAAAATTATCAGCCTCAGAAGTGAGAGTATAAGGACATCCAAGAGATTTTGGGGGTCCAACATGAATACAAATTTCACTGTTAGTAGAATTAATTGAATTATTTGTGGAAATAGGATGAAAAAATCCAAAATATTCTAGTTGACACTGTCGTAACAAGTCTTCATTATTTGTTTCCACTTTTATAGTTATTGTGGGTTGGGGCGCCTGGTCAATTTCCCGGGAAACCAATGGTAACCGTATTTCACCAGCATGTGGTGTTAGTAGTTGTTTCCGAAGTGTTTTAAAATGCAGCTTCCGCCATTGACGGGCTGCAGCTACTGTCTTCCTTCGCACAGTTGCTCCAATTGTCATCTGATCGCTGAGACAAGAAGAGTTTTTAATCTCTTTGGAAATAAAGATACTCCGCTCTATAGTGAACAGCTGACTAAAGAAAGAAAAGAAAAAAAAAATAAATAAATAAATAACAAAGGAAATACAACTTTTATGTTTTTCAACTCATATCCTTCCCTCCAAACACCCTCACCACCCCCGTCTCTGCGGATAGGCCTACTATGTATGCAGACATGAGATAACGGAAACATTTAGTTTTTTATCTTACTCATGCGGCAAACATCTTTTCACCCAAATATATGATGTTCAACATCAGAAAAATTGAAACTGAAATGATATCACATTACAGTATGAAATATAAGTAAAAACCAAAAATAAAAAGATGCTCGGATTGGATTTCCCTTTTCGAAACATTTCCGTCTTCTGTGGAAGTTGGCCCTTTCAGTTGTATAAATTTTCATTTCTTCAACTATTTTCATTATTGTTTTCGTTTTCTTTTTTTTTTTTTTTTTTTTTTTTTGTCTTTTTTGAGTCTGACAGCTTGGAATCTTGCCGTAGTGTATTATTTCCTTCTTTCTCTATGAAGGAATTTCATGGAGAAGAGTTTGATTTCTTCTAGCAAGCAATTTTTCTTTTAATTTCCGTTCACCGTATAACTTTTCTTCATCCGTTTTTTCTTCCCATAAGGCATACACAAGTGATCCAAAACAAAGAAGAATAGCTGCCAAGAGACTTAAATACCAGGGTGTATATCCCTTTTCTAAATCCCATTTAGGTACAATGATCAGCAAAAGAGCAGTTAAAGGTGAAGAAAGTTGTCCAATCATAGAACATAATGTGACACTATAATGATTAAGATACGCAGATCCAATATATGTGAAAACGAATCCTGTTGTATATATCATACAAAATAAAAAATTCTTATCACAATTAAACAAACACCATATGCCCTCAGAAAAGTTTTCCCATGCGGCACTTACAGAACTGCTACCTCCCCACCAAGGAAGTGCATCCATGGGAAGAGTCATCATAATTAATATGAATTGTAAATTTGTTTCACCAGCGAGCATTACAAGTTTTACTATAGTGTCATTTCCCTCTGTAGGAGGTATCATATTATTATAATGTTCTTCTGGCTCTTCATGTATATCTTCAGAATTTTTGTCATTTGACGTTGTATCTACTTTTTGAGGTGTTGTAACAGAAGACTCAATACTGTTATCTTTGCGATTACTGTAAACACTTTCTCTACCATCATCAGATAAATATGACTCAAGGGTTAGAGAAGTTACATTCTGATGTAATAAATGTGTTTCTTCCAAAAGAGGATCATAGGTAAACTCAATCATGTATAAACTTTGCCATATATTCATCAGAACTGTTGGTGGAACAGATAAGAAAAAGATAACACTCCACCATGCTTTATTACCAGAGTCATCATTGAAACCACAAGCAAAGTGGTATGCTGAAGCTACTACAACCCCAGAAATAATTAAAAAAAATGATGTAAAAATCCATCCATTACAGTAATTTCTAGGATCCTCTAAAATCAATTTAGTGAATCCTGCCGCATATACTGGAACAAGAGTAGTAAAAAGAGCCTGTAATACTTCAGGTGTATATGAAGCTGCATAAATAGCCATAGAACTATTCACTGCATCCATTAAAGCAATAAGAAATATTAACCACCATCCTCGGGCACAACGAGCGAAACTGAGAGATGGTCTCATCACGATGATATACACAATAAGAAGAATGAGGAAAAAAACTCCGAATAGTAAGGCTGAAGCAGCTAAAGTCGTAAAATTTCCAGGAACACCATCTTTTGGAAAGTAACGAAGCCAAAAGTTTAATCCAATGATTTGCATTGCGTTACCGCTTGTCACTAAAAGAATGAGAATGATAATCCAGAGAATACGTAGAGGAGGTGTGGTGCGTACTTTTCTCAAGAACTTGTAAAACACATCTGTAGGAGAGGTAGGGGAGTTACTTACAAATATATTTCCTTCTTCCGTATCATACAAAGGGTTCGATCTCTTTTCATCAGGGTTAGCGACACGTCTTTGCGAATGGGAAACATGATGATGGGTTGTTAAATTTTCTGGGGTTTGCTCCCTGTTACTACAATTCTCATTTTCACGTTCAGTAACCATTACCACACAAAAGGTTACCAATATAGTGTAAATCTACAGTCCTAAAAAAAAGTATATATTAATACTTCTGAAGTTCACTTAAGAATAACTAGAGGTTCACGTCAGATAAACTACAGTCGAGTGGACTTTTTTCCCTTATAACTTAAAGAAACAAATATATATATATATATATATTCAAACAAAGGAAAAAGAAGTGCGTGTCACATTTTATTTCAACACAATACTTTCCATCCGTGTTGTAGAAAACAAAGGAAGAAACAAAACAACAAACAAACACAACACCAAAAGTAAAAAAAAAAAAAAGGTCTCGTTAACAGACATCATCAAAAAAAAATTATATATATATATATATATATATATTTTTTTTTTTTTTTTTTTTTGGGGGGGGGCTACCCTTCTGCCAAGCGTCGTGGCAGCGAGTGATAATAAAAGTCACTTAATCCCTCAAAAGAGTATATGGTATCAATTCCAGAGGTCTACCATCAAACCAAATGCAGAGAACAAATAAATAAAAGAAAAAAAAAAACATAGCACGGAAACCAGCAGAGGAAGAAAGCGGTGTTTCACATGAAAGTATAGGTTTACCCCCTCCTTTACTCTCAAATACCATCTACACATTTCTTCCATTTACTTACTCTCATTTTGTTACTATCTTTTCTTTTCGTTTTTTTTTTTCCTTTTTCGTTGTTGGTTCTCTCTATTCCGTTATCCTCCCAATTGCAAAGATGAAGTTCTATTCACGAGAAATACTATCCATTTGTTTCAATAATTGCACCACTTCATGTCCAGCCGTTTTAGCTTCCTGCTCTGAACCCACACCTGCCAAGAACTCATAACGCAGTGTTAGAGCAAAAAGTCTCTCCAGTGAGTTATTGCCATAATTCTCCACGAGGGTTTTCTCTGCTGAAGCAAAGAGTCCAGTTGCGTATAGGTAATCCCGCATATCAGCATACAAAGATGCCATTGCCAACAATATCCATCCTGCCTTGGGATTTTGTTTATGATTTGGGTACATGGCGCGATTAAGCTGCAATGCCCGTTCAAGTGATTCACCTGTTCGCTTACGAGTCACATCAACTGTCATAGGGACCAATCGGTGAACATCTGCAAAAATAAGATTAGATGATGTTTCCACTGTTGCGATAGGAGACATTGAAAAAATTTGTTTTGGGAGAAAAACAGGGGAATCACGACTTGATACACCTGATGGTCGAGGGGCATTCAACAAAAAAGTACCATAGCTTAACATACAAGATGTATATGCATCAACTTCAAACTTTCGCTCATCTAAATGTTCGGTTGACATAATTCCATCTGCATCTAATGTAGTATTGTATGGAGCAGAGTAGAATTTAGCTGCCGCTTCAAACTTTTCAAGAACATCCTTATCCACTTCATTTATACCCACTGACCAATCAAAAATTCGAGCAGCTATCTCTGCTTGTGCAAGCATAAAGAGACCAAGTTCAGGTTCTTGTTTACGAGGAACGAGTCCATCTAAAATTGGTTGTTTTCTACGAAGAAATTCATACACAATTTTTGCTGCTTCATCAATATACTCTCTAGCGTGTTCAAGATTACCAGTAAGAGGAATTGTTAAAATTCCTTTTAACAGAAGAAGTTTTGGCACATACCAACGAAAACCGTTATCTACCTTATCTTGATTTACTACTGTATTTCGGCATAATTGCAGTAGTTCATCAATACGTTCCATTACCAAAGAAAGTGTGAGGACATCATCGTTGTTACCACTTCCACCTACCTTCATTGACCATTCAGAAGACTTATTACTTTTATCCTTATTTTCATTTCCTTTTTTTATGTGAAATGGTTTTTGATTTAATGCACAAAAAGCACGAACAAAGTGAGCAACTATAACACATGCAGTATCAATATGATGAATATCTGACTTATTCCATGTATCATTAAAATAAAGAAGTCGACCTGCTTGCTTAAGAATTAGGCGATAGACATTTACATGATGCGCATACTCTGGACGTGGTAAGTGTTCAACACCACTAAGAAGTTCAAACTTTATCGCATACAATGGACGCAAAATATCTGCTGTAGAAGCATTATTAACTCCACCAACATTTTCCATAATTTCTTCTCCACGAGCTAATAACATAAGAGCCTTATCTCGGGACTTTTTCCATTCTTCTTCTGACATACTTTGTGGTTTTCTCCAACGTCTTTCTGACCCTGTTGTGTTTGGTTGAAGTAACGCCAAAGCATCTTTTAGTTCTGGTATACCATGCGTCTGGAGATGAACACGCGGTTGAAATCGAGGGAAGTAAAAAGCCATATCAGTTGCATGAACAAAATTAGATGGAACACATGTATCAGCAATAGATGTTAGACGTCTGCAGGTGGCGCGGATCATCTTGTTAACCAGAATCTGTCCTAAAAGTGTATAAGGTGTTGGTCCCCCTTTTACTTTCTCCTTATTTTTTTTTATTTTCACGTGTGATTATGTGTATATCTGTGTCACCTAGAGAAGCACACACAGTTATTGTTCTCTTCCAGTACAGGAGAGAATTTCGTCACTATAGTTTCCTTACAATAAAAAAAAACAGTAGTAAAGAGTAACGAGGAGAAAGCTAGCGAGAAGGAAGGGACCGAAAGAGAAAAAAAAAAGAAAACGGCCACATAGAAATTATAAGAAAAAGTGAAATTATTAAGTAGGATCCTGAAGAAACCCTCTATCAAGTCATTATAAAGGTTAACCTCTCCACCCTCTAACACCAGAAAGTCCAGATAGAAACAGAATCATATATATATATACGTTATTTTACCTCTCCTCTTACTGTGTAAATCGCAATTGTACCTTTTCTTCTGCATTATCATGAGCGACTGCAGCTTGATCTGCGTAATCACGTTTATGACCACCTTTAATAGTAGCCATTTGTCCTTTCCTAATCAACTCCACGCGTTCCCAAAAGAGTTGCTCATCACGTGAAAGCTCTCGCCACTGTTCTCGACGAATAGCATCCTCATCCACACTTTCCTGTGTGCTATCCTCAATTTGAATAAGTGCAGGCACAAATAATGGATGTACAGATCCAATAGGCGTAGCAGCAGGATCACAATCTTCTGTATTTAATGCAGTAACACAAGGACTATCTTCTTTTCCAAAAACATCATCACTTTCTATCTTTGTGGTGGTTGCTGCTGCTACTACTGAGGTATCATCTTTTGATGAAGTATTTTCCGCTTTTATAAACTCTTGATGAAGCATTGTCGAAGCAGATTGACGCTTTCCAAATTGAACAAGCTGCATCCAAGGTGTTGCAGCTTCATGCTTAAGAGCTTCAAAAGCTAATGGTTCCAGTGTGTTAGCATCCTCTTCATACCAATGCTTCAGTTCTGCCTGTGATTGCAACTGTTGATTATGAGAGAGACTTCGATGAAGTGCCGCCTCTTTCGCAGCTCGGATCTTACGTGTAGCATCCCAGAGTGCCGTCTTGATGCTTTCTGCAAGTTTATCAAAATCCAACGGTCCTGTTTTATTCTTCTCCGCCGTCTCATCCTTCTCATTCCCAGAAAGGATGGTGTTTCCTTTACGGTAAAACGGTTCCCACGCGGCCTTATCCACAAGGCGCACAGCCAGCACGGTGCCATACCCGCTGCAGACCACTTCGACTCCACGGCAATGGCCAGAAAACCGCCGTCGCACTAACTCCCGGTGGGAGCTTTCCAGCATTAGCCGGTGCTTCAACGCTCCCACGAGATTGTTGGTGTAGCGAAACGACATGAAGGGGTGGAAAACAAATACAATAAAAGAAAAGAAACAAACAAATAAAAAAGAAGAGTGATGAACTCTGGTAACTTTTTCCCTTATTCCTTATTCTCTATCCTTTTTGTTTTTTGTTTTCTGTTTTGTCTCCTTCCTACAATTGGAAGATAGATGCAGATAACTTAAGATAAGCAAACAACACCACCACCACCACAAGTAACAAGAAGAACAAAACCAAGAAGGAAAAAAAAATACATACGAAAGGAAAACAAACCATAAGAAATAAAATAGTTAAATTTTTTTATTTTTCCATCATGACACATAAAAAGAAGAAATAAAAACAATCATTATTTTCTACAAGCTTATTTCCGTATAGCGATGTGAATAAAAAAAGAGGAATGAGCTAGAACACTTTACACCACCTGAAACTCAACTAAGAGACCAAAGTGATCTGATGGATACAAGTACTCTGGAACATCATTATTGTTATCAACTTGTTTTGTGACACCAAGGGAACGAACAGACGTGGTACCCACAAGTTCTGTGTGAATCGGTTGTAAATGACGTGAGGCGAAAAGAACACGATCTGCTCGACCAAAAAATTCACGTTCAATAATTTGCGCTGCGTAGGGGTTACGATCTCCGTTAATGGTATATCCCTCTGTACCTTTATCATCTGAATGCAGCAATGACCAAGCATCTTTAAAACCCATTTCAGGAGGAAATGTAAAATAATTCGTTGCACAATCATTAAAGTCACCCATAACGATTGTACCTGTCGCTAATCCTCCAATAAAAGGACGAGTACGCATACGTTTAGTTAAATTTTCCAGTTGTGTTGTTCTATTATTAATATTATTTTGATTATATGGGGCAAGAAGATGAAGTGACCCAATTGTAACTGGAACATTCTTAGAAACCGATATAGTTATTTCCGGCATCACACTTGTATGACCCGTAAAAGCAGGAACATTTGCATGCTGAGTGGCCATTACACTAAGATGACGTTTAACAAGTAACAAAACACCCCATGGACGAATTGCGTGACTCTCTTCTCCACATGATAATGCATAACGTTCTCGTACCCATGGTTGCTCAGAGAGATACTTCCACCATGCCGGTTCCACCTCTTGCATTCCAATTACATCAGCATCAAGTGACTCTAATGTCTTAGCAAGTGCCACATAACGCGTTGCCGTACACCAATCAATTCCTTGACGACCTAACGGGGTTCGTTCGCCACTATGACGACTGAACTGTACATTCCACGTCACCACACGTAATGTAGAAAGTTCTTCCATTGAGGATGATGGGTTTATCTTTTCACATGGAGTCTCATGCCAAACCCCATTTTTCTCTGTATTATAAACAAAAAGCGTATTTTTTGTATTTATTCCAGTCTCATCTAATATACGTGAAGTTGCCTTTGATGTTCCTGCACCGGTGAGATAACGAACACCAAGTGCAGCAGCACGAATACCTAAGTTTACACTTTGATAGGTCCACCGCATCGGTGGTCCACGTGAACCAGGTGTATACACAAAGTAATGTGATGGTAAATGATTAAGAGCGGGATGCTCTTTAGATATTGTATTTCCTTCTTCATTTGTACTACTATCTCTAACTACTTGAAGGACATCACGAGCTTTTTGTATAGCTTCCATAATATTCTTTTTACTTACAATATCTTCAGCAATACCACTTGGTAAAGCATGACCTTTTGTAAATAGTGGAATTATTTGTTCAATCATCTCTGCTTTAGGGGCACTTACAAGCAGTGTTTCTAACCCAGTGAGAGCAAAAGTCCAATCTACTGATGCCTTTACTCCATTAACTTTAGATTGAGAAGGATTTTTACCATCATTATCTGATGTTACAGTTTCTTTTCCTACACCAGAAAGGTGCTTTAAGTGACCTATAAAACGTTCAATAGGAATTTTAGGGGTTTTTTCTGGCACATTATCATTATCATCAGGTGTCCAACGATAATTTTTAATTCCCCCACTACAAATCATAGCGTGACTTTGTAGAAGAATTTCAAGATAATCTGCAGATTGACAACAAGGTCGCGGTGATGTTCCTGTTCTTCGTGTAGCTCGAGTGAGTACACGCTCCAAAATATCAGGTCGAAGTAATAAAGAAGAATCATTAGATGTTTCATCAAAAAGGTTTGCCCCATCGACATTAGCAGATTCTTCAGCAGTATAAGCTTCCATAAGGTCTTTAAAATTTACTCCAAGACCGCTAAGATCCGTAGCGCTGATACCATTTGCCAAGAGATATAATAATACAACATCGGTTCGAACAGATGCAAGTCGTTTTTGTAAATCATGTCGTGATGTATCTTGTTCACCATTATTAGTAGCTGTCTCCGACTTCAGCAAATGATCCATAGAAAGCCACTCAAGAGATTCACTCAGAGAAAGAGATTTCATTTCACCTTGTTGTAGTGTAACAGTCGTTATATTATGAAATGGTGTCGCTCCCAAAGCAGATAAAAACAAATCCGTACCACCAACTAAACAAATAGTATCATTAACTGTAACCTCTGGGACTCCTTTCATTGGAGAAGAAGGATCAGACGAGATAGCACCATCTGGTAAAGCACGTGTGGCGAGATCAAGCATCCACGCTGACATTTTACCTTCAACTGGTCCAGGTACTGCAGCCCCACTAATGATAAACTCCTTCGGTGGTGTTCGCAAATCAACTGCCACTTGCCGCAATTTATCTTCTAGAAGGTAAACCATTGGAGAAGCAGCGCTTCGGTAGAATTTTCCTTCAAACTTTTTTCCCGGATACAATCGCATATGCCGTACCTTCCAAAGTGGTTCACTACCATCAAGGAAAATAGCAAGAGATTTTTTTGGTTGAATGCGGCGAAGAATGACATTCGTAATTTGTCGATGTAACACCTTAACAGTCTCTGTGTCACGTTCATGTCCAATGAGATCACGTGTCAATCGACCGGCAGCTCCAGCAAGTGTACCTACATCAATGGCAACGTGATCAAATCCCCAACCACTACGGTTAAGAACATTATTAAATTCATCTGCAATCTTTGAAGAAGTACGGTAATCCGCCGTCCAAAGCAAACGACAGCGATGCAACATTCAAATGTATGTGAATATTTATTTTCTTTTTTTTTTTTCTCCCTCTTTCTTTTTGTTTTTCTAACAATGTGTAGTGATATCAAAACACTCTCAACGACAACAAGAACAATAAATCACACGGAAAACAGGTAAATCAGTATTATTCCGTGTTTTTCTCCTCAAATATGTGCCCTCTTTGATTCTTTTTTATGTGTCCAATTTACTTTCCTTCTCTTTATTCCACCCTCTGTTAAGTAAAAAAATATATATATCCTTCTGGAGAGATACCAGTCAACCCTTTGTTTTCACTGATCTTTCCTTTTCTCCCTTTCCCTACAAATATAAATTAGTAAAAAAAAAAAGCAAAAGAGAGAAAAAAAAAGACCCTTACTACCAGTAAAAGTAAATACCAAGAAGAGCAAAATAAAGATTTACTTACAACATGTCTTTTTTTTTCAACTTGTTATTGCTTATTAGACCATACAATTGTATGTAACTTACTCATTCATGTTTATCTGACCCCATCGGCTCCACGTCTTGCTTTGTCATATCCATTTAACATAGCAAGCAAGAGAACAACAACAACGAAAAAAAAAAAAAAGAACACATCCACAAAAGACAAGAGATGCATGAACTTCACTCATCATTTTTCCCTTTTAAATTTTTCTTTCTTCACATTCCATTCATACACTATCACACCTCATTTCCTCTCAACTTTGAGTGAGTATGAGTCTGTAATATATATATATATATATATATATAGACCCACGTATGTGCTTGTGTGTACATAAAAAGTGTGTCGATGTGTGGTTCTTCTTTAAAAAAAATTTTTTTTTTCTTCAATGCGAGACGGGTTCCCTTTTATTCGTAATTTAACCATATTTCTTTTCTTCTTCTTCTATTTTCCTTTTCCTCTCCTCCCCTCGACACATAGAGACACTCTCTCATTTCTCCTTCATATTTAGAGTCCGTTCCTCTTCCACCTCCTTTATTACTGCGGCTAGCAGTGCTGGTAGACGTATGAGCCGCTGGTCTCCACTTTGGCGACTCCCCCGTCCGTGCGGGCCGTAATGTCGACGGCGGCCGCCCCGCGCCGGCGGTCCACCACCCGCACCCGCAACTCCCCCGAGAGGGTCTCGCCCGCCCGCAGCGGCAGCGGCTCCGGCAGCCCAACGCTCGTCTCCGTCCACAGATTGCTGCCACCGGGGCGGATGCCTAGAACAAAGTTCGCGCCGGGGTCGTTCGGGTTCGTGAAGGTCGCATCCACAAAGAAGGTGAGATAGTTTACCGTCGTGTCGCGGCTTGCACGCATGCTGAAGGGAACGGTGTAGTCATTTAAGTCCTGTCCGCTCATCTTCTTGGCAGTTTCACCCTCCACTTCTCCACCGTTGTTGTTGTTATTATTATTGCTGCTGCTGCCAGTACCATTCATATCGCTTTCAATTGACTTCTTGAGGGTTGCGATGTTTACAGTGTGGGCCAAACAAGTACTTGTGGCAATATTCGCCGCAGGGACACTGCACGTCTCAACCTCCTGTCGCACAAGAGCTTTCATCGGTTCCATCTTAAACCCATACACATTACTCCAATATTCCACCGTATCGAGGTGGAATGCATAATCGCTGACACCCACAACGTGAATAGAGGAACCATCCGGACACATAACTCCACCCTCTGCAAGCAAATTATCCCGTGCAAAGAGAGCATCATCCAGCAGTGAATCATTTACAAGAAAAGCACCCATCCATTCACAAAGGATAACATCAAATTTCTGAAGAGGAAATTGTGGCATTACGTCACGCAGAGAGCCATGAAAGAAACTAATGTTTTGCAATCCATTTTGCTTTGCCACAACTTGTGCAGCATCCACAATAGCAGAATGATCAACAGCCACAACGACTGACGCCAGGCTACGTGCAGCTATCATTGAAATAAGACCCATTCCACATCCAAGATGTAACAAAGACTTCCCTTTAATGTTTTTCAAAATAGATTGGTACGCACGCATGCGAATACGATCATAAATGTTATGCACATTACCTGAAATACGTGCTCCTGGATCACCGTAGAGACTCTTAGAGGTTGCATGCTTTTCACTCTCTGTAGCAAGGAGAGACTCATTCGCGATAATACGTTCTACAGAAGCGTTTCGACCCGATGCATTATTTTTTTTCTCATTTTTATTGTTATTATTGTTTTTTTTGTTGTGGTTCGGACCTGACGCATACGGCGGTGGATTCTTTCTTGAAGGCATTATTTGCGTTTTCTTACTTTTTTTTTTTTCCTTCTTTTTACTCCTTGAAGTTTATCCTCAACCTGTCTTTCCCTTTACAGAAAATAACTTGGTATAAACCAGAATCAGAAATAAATAAATAAATAAATAATAATAATAATAAAATAGGTTTTTGTGGCAATACAAATACATCGATAAACAAAAATAAAAGGGAAACAAAAAGTATTAAAAGAAAAACAAAAAAGAAAAAAAAAAACCATAGAACTCAAAACGAAAAGAAAAAAAAAAAAAAAACATATTCACTCATCCAATCACTGTTGGATCGCTCACATATGATTGGTTTTACTTATTTTCACACAACGGTAAAAAAAAAAAAATAAGATTGACTTCTCTCTTTCTTTCTTTCTTTCTTTCTGAGACTCACTCAACATTACAGCTGACGCTCACAACCCCTTATTGCATGAGAAACGACCTTACTGTAGCAGATACTGCAAATACGTACGGGACGTGTCGCCTCACGATCTTCGTAAAGAGAAATGAGTAACGACGGCAATCGCAGAAAGCGACCCCCACATTGAGTACAAACAGCGCGGCCGCAGTGACGACAGGCATGTCGTCGAAAGAAGAAAGTAAACGGCTTTGCACAGACCTCACATGAAGTAGCTTTTGATCTGGGAATAAAATTTTCATTTCCTAAACGGTGTATTACACCACTATTGCTACTGAGACATATAGTGGATGGTAAAGAAGAGAGATTCATACTCAAAGGAGTAGGAGCCACGTGAAGAGATGTTGATTCTCCATCTCCACAACTACCATCACTCACAGAGTCAATTACATCTTTGCAGGATGTTACTTTAATAATAGAAGCAGTCCCAACATTAGGTTGAATACTTAGTACGGTATGAGCATTGTTATTATTATTTAGAGACTCCATTTGCTTATCCACACATGTAGTAGTAGTAGTAGTAGTAGTAGTAGTAGTACTAGAAGAACCAGGAGACTCACGTGCAACATGATTAACAACAGGGATTCGATTTAGAAACATACTGCGTAAACTATCATCACTTTCTGATTTCTTCTCTCTCGTTTTATCTTTTGTGGTTATATCAATATTTTGTTTTTGAGAGTACCATAACCAACTATCCATGAGTGGAACTAAATTATCTGGCTCAAGACCAACAAAACCAACACCACTTGTTACATTCGTAAAATTATAACGACAGTAATAAGAGTGCCAAAAGACATAACGAGGACTCAAACCACTAGGAACAAGACGTCTTATCAAGTATTTACTCCGTTGTGGTTCATTTGCCTTTATTAATATTTCCCCCTTATAAGCATCAAGAGGGATATAAAACGGATTCACTAGTTTCTCATGTGCAGGGACAGAAAAGGGATTTTCACGTTCAAATCGCACCAGCGCTTCCACTTCACCCCATAAGGATGCCGTTCGATGGGTTATACCTCCACGCCGGTAACGAATTCGATGACAATTATATAAAAAAGTTCCAAAACGGCAACTGTAAACCTCATCAAGAAGATACTGTAAAAATTTTGGAGTAAATTCAAAATCACTTGGAAAAAGTCGTACGAGTTGATATACAGCATCTATAAACTGTACAAAAATGGGAGAAATTTGAGTACCTTTATTTTCACCTATTACAAAATTCTTTGCTGCCGTTATTCCAAGAGTTCTTGCTCTCCCTTTCGTGGCCTCTTCCATTGCATTTGGGTTATCATCTTCTCCAGCCGCATCTAAACTCACAGCATCTTCACCAGATCGGTTATTTGCACAGCGATCGGCAAAGCGATGCCCCATCTCTAACCATTCCCGCATAATCAACACACAAAATCCCTCAATAGTTCGATAATATCCATCCAATTGCAACATGGCAAGTGATACCACTTGCGTTGTGCGATCCCATCCATCTGTACAGTGCACCAACACACTATCGCCCGCTACAACTTTCTCAGTAACGACCCATGAGGACCAAATAATTTTCGTAATCATTTCAGGCCATCCTGTGGCATCAAGTTTAGAGAAAAAAAAACTTCCAGGATGTTTTTCCGTTCCCATATTACACTCACACTCATGACGTTGAAGAGTCATACAAAGTTTTCCAAGTTTTGAAAAAGCGGCACGTACGGCATGAATATTTTCTAAATTTAAAAACTGAATATCGGCATGATCATAATTACGTACAATTTCAAATCCACCACCAGTTGGGAAGTTAGCGGCTGCCGCTGCACGAGATCGACAGTCAAAAAAAACTAACCGACCTCTTTCTGATGTAACAGATTGAAGATCATTAACATTTTCATCTGAAGAAAAAAGCAACGGTGGTGGTACCCATACATCACTATTATTATTATTATTATTATTAGAAAGAGGATTTTTTTCCTCTAGTTCAGATGATAATAAACGCTTCTTCTCCTGTTCCACCTCTTCTGTTATTGTGGAATGAAACTCCTTTTGTAATGTTTTTTTCTCTTTCGAATACTGAAAAGATGGATTTAAAAAACTACAAAAGAGTGCATCGGCATCACTTGACATGTAACTACCAGATCCAGGTTGTGCTGCTCTCGATATAGAGGCTCCTGTCTCAAGATGAATCCATGATATACTTGGGATTCGACCATTATGTCTATATAAGGAAACACGTTCAGCAAGTTCCACTGTAACACGTCGAGGGACAACAATAGAAAATGGATATGTAGCAAAAAGATCTCCTCGTGAAAGTGGAATAATATGAAACCATGGGGATACATCTATTCCTGGTCCAATATTAGGAATAAGATTCGTTTCATTATCATTATCATTATCAGTTTTTAATATTTCATTACACATGTGTGTTAATCGTGTCATACGGTAAAAATCTTCTTCAATATTATATGCATACCATGCGGAGTCATACTCAAAATCACCATCAATAATACTATATCGAATTTCTGGTATATTAAATTCATTTCTTGTTCTTAAAGGAGATGGTAATTCTAATTTTTCTGTATGAATAGAAGAAACCTCTTTTTCCTTCTTTTCCATATTATTTGTTGGGGATGTAATGGATACTACTGGGGATTCACATATCACTGCACTAGCACTTCGACGCATTTGTAACATTTCTTTTTCCCCTAAAAGAGTAAATGAAAATGCTTCATTCATATCAGTTAAAGATTTTACAGTATTTAGAACTGGAATTTCTTTGACCATAGAGAAAATAACATCTTCTCCCCCTTCCTCTCCTTCTTTTTTTACTTCTTTCACTTCACAAGGTTTAACTGCAGCCGCCATGGAACTCTCTAAATCGGTACTATCGTTGTTTTCTTTATTGCCTTTTTTCAATTCAGAGTTCGTGGTAAATTGTGAACCCAATTCCATCTCTCCAGTACAAGTATCTCTGCCGTTTTCATGGGATACAGTATTCTTCACACGGTCTGCAGAAGAAAGGAGGAATAAAGTATTATCTTTATCTATCCCATGTTCTTCGGATGGTATTCCATTACAAATTTCTGTTACTTTACTGTTACTCTGCGAACACATCTGTAGACCAGCTTCATGTGCCTTCGCTACACACACCTTCTTTAGTGCCGCAAAGTATGCAAATGCAAAGAAATCACACATACTCTTTGGTATTGTCACCTCAATCGTCTGCATAAGACCTGCAAGGATATTCACACCTTCCTCTGACTCTCCCGTGGTGTTGTAGAGAATAAGGCGAAAGGCACAAGTTGTCTTACACTTCACCGCCACCCACGCCCCATCACTACCACGGTGTTGTTGTACACTCTCAATAGCGGCAAGTGGGACATCCAGTGGTGAACGGTGTTTGGCGGAAACGTAACAAATACGCAGACGGTAGGTTGAAACTACAACCGACACCGCCGGTGTAGTGTTTATCGCAGCAGCAGAGACTGTCTTGAATGGAGCGAGATGTAGTGGGGCGGGAGACGTCACATACAATGTGCGCTCTCCACAGAATGACATTCAACGTGTATATATATATATATATAAGAAATTAAGTATGTAAGTTAATAAGTTAATAAATACGTAAGGGGAATAAACGGTAATGGTGCTTATGACAAGATTTGTACGAGACGAAAGGGAGAAACGTAAACGGAGACACAACGTAAATGAAATGAAATGAAGAAGAAAATATTAACCTGCAGAACTAACAATCGATCCAGGTTTAGACGTGTAGAAGATTAAACGATGGATTGAAAGTAGAAAGTGAAAATCAGAGGAAAAAAAAAAGAAACGACAAACGAATAGCCCAAACACAGACTCTGTATATATAAGTGTGTGTGTGTGTGTGGCTTAACGGTAAGAGAAGGAAAACTAATTTCCTTTATATTTATATTTTGCTTTTTATTTTTATCTTTGTTACCCACTTCTAGTTCAGTACCTGTACTTTGTAGTTTGCGACCTTGGGCACTGCAGAATAAAAAAAAAAATGAGAGAAACATAAGAGAAAATGTTTATTATTATGATTATTATTTTATTTAAAATAATGAAAGAGACATTACGAAAAGTATATTTAAGAGAGGAAAAAAGATAGAAAATCTTTACATCTTTACTCCCATACAAAGAAATAAATAACCATATGCAGATAATAAATATATATAATATCCACACGCATATCAACTTAACACTAATGGTTTCCAACTGTATCTTATTGTTGTTATTATTATTATCATTGTTGTTGTTGTTGTCTTCTGAGAAAAAAGTCTCTCACACCACGGAAACACTCTCCAAAAGAATGTGTCACACGTACAGAAGGTTGCATCCATGAAGGAATCCGCTTTCGTATATCCGCACGTTCTCCATATCGGGCATCAAGAAGAATAACAACTGCGTAATCACCAGCATGACGAATACACCGACCAGTACTCTGGTTAACCACACGCATGCATAGATCTGTGAAAAGACCCCACTGTGTTGGAGAAGAGAATACAGGCGGCATCTCACCACTACTACCAACACCGCCTCCCAAACATCCAACTGCCGTATCCACAACAGAAGAATAAGAATAAGAAGAGGATGATGATGATGATGTTGTTGTTGTTGTTGTTGTAGACGACAGTCGGGTACTGCTAACATGTCCTAAATACAACTGCAGCTCCACATCACTTGGATTTGCATATGGAAGACCCACCACCACAACCCCACGGCCAAGATTATCATTAAAGTTTATACCTTCCGATAGTTTACCTCCCATGACGGCAAATAATAATGCCCCACCAGAGTTTCTAGTGTGAATACATTTGGCATACTCTGCCAGCATGGCATCTACAGGAGTAGATGCTGAAGTACTATCAGCTGTTAAAGAAGAACTAGCATTATTAGAACTAACAACTCGACCAGGTTCACGAAAGATACGTTTAACTTCATTTATTTTATCAAATAATCCAGACTTATGAAGATGTGTTACAAAAAGTTCCTCTATCTCGTAAGAAGTGAAGAAAACAATTAATCCTGCTGGAATAACACGAGAAAAATTTAAAATAGTTGCCCCAACTTCTTCAAAATGTCGTTGTATCTGGTTGCGTGTCGCGTGTTGAAGTTCTACACGATAACCACTTGGACCAACTCCCAAAGTAAATACCGCAACAGAGGATGGTGGTACAATATGTCCTTCTTCTGTAAAGGAAATTTTTTTATCCGAGGTAACTTGTTCCTTCTGTAACCCTTTATTTTTGATTATCAAGGTAGAATCATTCTCTTCACTGGAAAGGTTATTCATCAATTGAAGAGGACGTTTAAGAAGAAGATCACATGTAAGGGCGAGGGGTTTCATTGTACCTCCAGCAAGTACGGCGGATTGTGCTTGTTGAAGTAATGGAAAAAGTGTGTGTGTTCCCGGTTCTAGTTGTAGCATCTGCAGTTGAGGAATAATCTCTGTGTTGTTTCCATCATCTTTCATTAGACGCCGTAATACAATACGTGTGTATTCATCTGAACGACTGTACCAACGTAGAAAAGCATCAAATCGATGCAATGCAGATGTTATAACACTACGATCCTGGGTAGTTGAAGATAAAAAAGAATCTTGAGAGTCATGAAGATGTTGGTTAGGATGTTTAGAGTTCTGTATCTCATGCATTTCATTCTCCATGTTGATAGTTGTAGTTGTAGTAGTAGAACGTTTTTTACGTGGTTGTTGCTGCAACTGTTGTTGTTGTTGTTGTTGTTGTTTTTCCTCATTTTCAGCAATAAATGCTACAAGACCATGAAGTTTGGGTAATAGTCTACTTTCATCCAAAAAAGAAAGAAAGCGATAGACGTTTACAGTATCCACGGCAGCATCAAATACAAATGAAGAAAAATGATGTACTTCCATAGGTGATGTATTTTTTGTCTTTTCTTTATTTTCCTCTACTGTTTTAGTCTGAGATAATGCTGTCTGCAAATATTGAATAAGTTTGTCAATAAATGACACCATCTCACGAATGCGTTGTTTATTACGAGTAAGAAGTCTTCTTTCATACCGTGTATGATATGCATTCAGTAAAGAACGTACTAATGATAACTCTGTAACACTTATAGTAACTGTCGTCATACTGCGACAGTAATCTACAAGATTATGTGCCTCATCTACAACAATTACATCTCCTGAAAAATCAGGAGGTAGTGTGGGTGCATTCTTTTTTTTTTTCTTCTTGTTGTTGTTCTTTTTCCTTTTCTTATCGTTACTGCCATGATGTGAATAATTAAAGCAAGAAGCATGAGTATGCGTATTCAATTCATCTTTATTCTTTATCATACTTTCATCTAATTCTTCTCTATCCTGTGAATCTTCTGTATCATTTTGATTTGTGCTTGTTCCTGAAAGTAATGTATTCCGCATTTCGGATGACACCAGATAAGGATAAGGGATGAGTACAACATCAGCTCCACGGAGTAATTCACGTGTAGCGAGAAAAGGACATGCTCCCGTACGTTGTCCTAACTCTCGCATTTCCGATAATCCACGTGGGGAAATATCAACATAATCAAATAATACTTTTAATCTTTCACTTCTACAATAACTACAACCTTTTGTAGTTTCACTTGAAGAGAGGAAAGAATCCTCAATATCTGTAATAGGTATAGATGAATTTCTTTTTTCTTGTTCTTTACGTGCTGCTCGTCCCTCTTTAGAGTGTTCATACGAAATTGCCTCAAGACATAATTCATTTAAACGTTCATTATTACCGCCTGCAATTTTTCTCAGAAAAGCGTTTAAGCAAAGTTGTTGTCGTCCTGCCACATGAACATACCGTAATTTATGTGGTAATTCATCAGATAACTCTTTTTCTTCTTTTTCTTTCTTTTCCAATTCATGTTCACTTTCACCAATCACTATATGCTGACGACGAGTACGTAGTCGAACTGGGTACTGTGTAAAAACTGTTCGACGCAGCTCTTCAGTGAGTTGTTGCAACTGGGTATGGGTACGACTTGAAAAATACACTTTTGGTTTTCGTAATGGCTGCTGTGGGAGTCTATTCTCCGAAAAATTTTCATCATCACTAGAAATATCAGAAGAACTCTCCAAAGAAGAACAAGAAGAATCTGATAGCGATGTTGCAAATTGCCTTTGTTCTCTTAACTCCTCGCGACGATCTTGTTCCAGCAAGAATGCATCTTCTTCGTTCCTCATATTTGATCCTTCTCTTTTACTCTTACTTCGCATTCCACGTTGGCGTTTACGTGAGTATCCAGATCCTATCATCATACCACCCTCCTCCTCTCTTTTAGAATATGTACCCCCACTACTACCTGCAATTCCTTTTCCCTCTTCTTGTTGTTTTTGCTGTGCCTTTTCCTGTGTATTGCTGTTATCGGCATTCATGACGGGTTCAAACAGATGCGAGAGGACGCTGTTGAGAAGCACTTGTGTCTTCCCGGTGCCGGTTGGGGACTCCAACACCACCACCTCACCGGCCGCGAGTCCACGGCGAATGGCCGCCATCGCGTGTAGTTGCAGCGGGTACGGCTGGAAGGGAAAAGGCACTTGAAAGGCATCGGCAGCGTACATCATATAAGCGTGAGAAGAGCATTCAGGGCCAGCGGCTTCCCACACTCAGACAGTGAGAGAGAGAGAGAGAGAGTCTAAAGGAGATATGAGGATGATTGGAATACAGGGAAAAGATCAAAGAAATATAAAGAACAAGAAGGAGGAGACGGGGGGAAATGCAAATATAGATGGTGGGGTTCGTTTAAAGAGACACACATATAGGTAGACGTAAAGGAAAGCCATTGTAAAACACAAATTTAAACAGTGAAAACCAACAACAGCAAGAAACGTGTTGTAAAAAGGATTTCAAAAATAAGAAAAAGGTATAAACATAAAGAAAGAGAAATAAAATAAAAAAAGGGTTAAGAAAAACAAACCAAAAAAAGAGGATATGACCTCCCGAAAAATAAAAAGAGAGAAAAGGATAAGGGTTAACATAGAAGACATAGTTAGCAGAATAATTTCTTACTAATCAATTAACTGCAACTCACATAAATTGAGATAACAAAAAAAAAAAAAGAACAAGAAACTTTTTTTTCTTTCTTATTCTTTATTTTTTTTTTTTTTTAGTGTCTCTGAATCCCCGCTGTATATGCAGGAAATATACCAGTTGGGTCTTCAACCTCATTAAGAATGGGAGACACATACTGTGCCCTTTCTGGGGACTCTGTATAATCGTGAATATTAGGCTGTAAAATGTAAACATTATTTAACAAACTCCTTTTACTGAAAGATTTGTTATCGTACACACAAGGAAATCCCATAGACGAAGTGCCTTCATCAATAGTACCAGCTAGAAGAACATCGGCGGGCATAAAGATCTCCTCAAATTTATACCCTGGAAACTCCACTGAAACCACACAATGACTGCTGACAAACGCGGTAGTAACATCCATGAGTGGTTGTTCATACAAGACATACCCCTTCTGTTTTCTTCGCGGGATAAGAGGATATGAAGAAAAAGAAGAGTGGACGTCATTATCGTCCTTTTCACTATTATTAACAGTTGAATAGGGTAAGAAAATATTAGGGCAGAACTTGGCCACAAAAGACTTTTCATCACCACGTTGAATAACTCCCTTGTAGATAAAGGGTTCTCCAATATCTACACAACGAAACGAGTGGAGATTATTAAGTCTGATCTGGGCAACATTCATAAGGCGTACTCTTATGATATCCAGTGTTTTACGGGAATTATTGACAATATTTACATGAACAAAAGCGGAGGGATTGTTATTATTATCAATGACAGATGTAAAACTTCTATTTACCATTTTAGATGCATCCATAAGAATAACTTTTGGTTCCACTCTTAATTTAGTGACTCTAACGTGTCCTCCGTTGAAAAGTCCAAAAAATCCACAACGAGAAGAATTCTTCAGTGGCACATTAAAAGTTACTTTTTTCTCAGTACGCTCATCCATTTTCTCAGTGTACAGTAAGCGTGAAATAGCGGAAAGGATATAAAATGGCTTGAAACACTCTAGATCAAATCCAGTACGAATATCCAGATATGCTCTTGCTGTGTACATTAAACGGGCTTCTGCAGTATCTAGTTTACATCGAATTTCAAAACTTGGAGGCAAAAACTCCGGCAAATCCAATCCAAATGGATATTCATACACGCCCGGTGATAGTACTTCATCGGGATTCATAAAATCTTCTCCCTCAGATCCAGTTTCAGTAAGCAACAGGGATGCAGTCTCCGGAGATTCACTTTTACGTAACTCTCGTGCAAATGTGTAAATCTTATCGTAGTGTATACGGGTATTGTCGGTAGGTGAGGGTCCTAGACCAATTCTGGCGTACTCTTCAGCACGAATACGCAGTCGGATAGCACGAAGCGAGAATTCTTTATTCAGTGTTATTTTAATTACACCGGAGAGAATACCACCAGGGATGTACTCCGCAGTCTCGGACTCAAATGTGATGCTTAATTCAACATTCCCACGACTTACTGTGGCCATTAAAAAAAAAAAATCTTTTTTTTTTTTTTTTGGGTTTCACCACTCTCCTATAGGCAAGTGACAGAAAAAAAAAGAAGAAAAAGACAACGCATTTTGGCAATGATAAAATAAAATTCAGAAGAATTATTATATCTATTATAGGAAGAAAATAATAATAATAATAATATAAAAGAAGAATGATTTTTCTTTAAGAGTTTCTTTTTTTTTTTTTTTTGTTTGTTGTTATAACACTCAACTACTTCACCAGTTTCTTCTTTCTCTCTTTTTACCTTGTTTATCTTTTCTTTGTTAAGAAGGCTGGCGATAGCTTCAATTTCTTTTTTTTTTTTTTAAAAAAAATTATTATTCTGCCCTTGTCATGCGGGCCAATTTTACACGTACAACGTTAATGAAAGCGACCCAACTGTTGTATCCTCCTCCTCCTCCTCCCTCTCTCTCTTCACATCACAGAAGCAGAGACACAAATACAAATACAAAAACGTCAATGATTCCTTAATTATTCCTGTATTTGAATTTATCACCTCTATTTTCTCATTCCTTTATATATATATATATATTCCACATTGTTCCTTCCTTTCTTCTTTTTTTTTTTCATTTTTTCCTCTTCCCCTTTTCATTCCTTACGACCTACTCTTCCTCCTCCCTATCCTTATCCCCGCTTTGAGCTGCTGCCTTCTGTCTTCACGCGGGTCTTCCGCGCGGGCTCCTCGCCGTTCTCAATTGCCTCCACCACCCGCTTGCGCTCCAACTTCGTCTTCTCTTCGCGCCCCGTCTTGAGCCGCTCCGCGTCCATCAGCAGCGCCGCATTCTTCGCGGCCGTCTTGAACGTCTGGCCGTACTCCTCGCGGGTGCGTTGCAGCTGGCGGCCCATTTTGCTGCGGAGATCGACCCCCTCCACGTGTGATTCCTCAACACCCGCGGGAGTTCTCTTATTATTATTAATATTATTATTATTATTATTCTTGTGTGTGTCATCGCGTACGGCAAGCATCACCTCATCAATGGGCCCAATAGGGGTGTTATCATCATTTAATAGCCAATAACAACCGGTGGTGGATGGGGCGGAGCTCACCACTCGCCAGCTGTGCACCATCTCTGCGCTATTCCCATTCTTCCGACTGCCAACATTACCAGCGCGTGAATTGGGAGCGACACGAATTCGTTCTTCTTCCACTAAAACTTCAAATGCATCAGCAGGAACGCGGGGGGCGTCACAATTAATAAACTTCACCAACTTCATTTGGATCTAAGTTACTACACGTTACTTCTTCTTGTTTCTGTTTTGTTATCTCTTTCTTTCTTTCTTTCTTTCCCTTTCTATCTTCACACACACACACACACACAGAGACAAAGAGTGATGAGTAGAAAATATGTTTGTCTTCCCAGTTGCGCGTGATGTACACGTCTAAGCAAGTAAGACGACGAAAAGAGAAATTATTGGTAAGGCTCGAACAAAAAACAAAACGACTCAGTTCCACATAAACTGAATGAACACAGTATGGAGATCATATCAATACGGTCAATTTAACAGAGTAAAACAAAAAAAAAAAAAAAAACAAAGAAACTGAAAACCTCTGTATTGTCAGCAGAAAGGCGCAAATAAAAAGAAAAAAAAAAAACCCACTCCCAACAATAACAGGTTACACTTGTTAATGGAATGTCGAATGTAACGTGAGAATAGCCAATAAAAGATAAGTATGTTATTTGAATACTGTTTTTATATGAACACCATGAACGTTGGCAAAAGCAATAATAAAAAAAAAAACACCACAACAACAATAACGAAAAACTCTTCTTTGTTATCTTCTCTGTTGAAATTTATTTACTTATGCCTTATTGCAGAATCGTAATTGTCACTATAATATTGTCATTCATCATTGCAAATAATATTGATTTCTAGCACCCATAACAGATGCATATGTTCAAAAATTAGGAAAAGCAAAAAAAAAAAAAAAAAAAACCGTTTACAACAACGAAACCACGTCCACTTCTTCTCAAGAACCAGAATATCCTCTACTATAAAACTTCTTCCAATCCAACACTACTCATTCGTACACAAACTGGAAAAAAAAAAAAGAATTTTTCTCACTCACTCAACAGACTAAACATTCTTGCATATCTTTTCTTTTGATAATTACATTTGAACATGTATATATATATATACAGACACGTTTGAATAAAAATGGGTGCCGCGTCCACTATTAATGTACTCTAACACTTGACTCTTAACTAGAGAGAAAAAAGCAAAAAAAAAAATTATTTCGTTCTTTTTTTTTTTTCTTTTTTCTTCAAAATTCAAGAAACTTACTCCATACCACCACCACCACCTTTTTTTACCCTTTTCTTTTCCTCTTCTCAATTCCTTGACGTCCACCTCAGCAAATTCCACGAAAATATCTCTTACAATAAATTTTTATCCGAATTCTCGTTTCACTCCTTTTCATTCTTTTGAATTTTAACTTTTCTTTATATTTATCTCAAAATGAACAACATCCCCGCAGAAAAAAACATATACGCCCATACACAGACACATACACACACACACACACACCTGGTAGGGGGTAGCCAGACTCAGGGGAGAGGGGTGGGGGGAACAGAGGTGTTGTGTGTTGTGTGTATATATATATTTGTTGATATAGGCAAAACAGAAAACAGCAAGAAGAACAAAATAAAAATAACTCGTCTTTTAAATACTTTATACTTTTTTTTTTTCTCACTATTATATTATTTTATTGTTCTTTTCCCCATTCACACCATTGCAAAAGGAATCATCATAAAAGAGAAAAAACCACAAACACAATATATAGCGTGCGATGTGCGATGATGTAGAATAGAAAAATAGAAAACAAAAATAAAAAGACACCATTCCCATATGTCTCTTTCTCTACCTTTTTATTCTACATGCACTTTACGGGGAATAAATGAATCATATGTTAATTCTATAAATTTATTTTCTCTTTTCTGAAATATATCTTATTTCACTACAATCATTCACGAACAGTAAAGTATTACCGACTGGGTTATTGCTCCAACACTTATGCACAACAACACAACTGAACCCAATCGAATTACCAGCCTGGATGATTTTTTTACGTGTATACCATCTTCTTCATTTTGAACATCCTCATTGTTTTCTTCTTCTTCTTCTCTAGTTTTGAAAAAACAACGTAAGAACATCGTCATATCAGTTTTCTGCATATTTGAAGATGTTTCAGGTTGGTTCTGAGTTTCATCCTTATTATTATCATCTTTATTATTCTTTGTCTTTTCCTCAGAAACATCTTCTTCCTCTGTTTCACTCCAAGTTGGTTCCGCTGTGGTTGCACCAAACGTCTTGAATGGTAACAAGATTCCTATTATGAAAAGTGGGGGTCCTACACCAAATAACAGTACTTGCATAAATACAGCTCCTTTTCCAAGAATATTCAAAAGACTACAGGTGTTGATATCGTGCGGCTCATACCAAATCCATGCAACGACCCAAATAGCCACAGATGCTGTAGACGTTAGTAATAACCACTTACTGACAGCATCTATTGACAGAAACAAATGAGAGATAAAATCCCAGCAACACATTCCAAAGCAGAGGATGAGCTCTTTACAATCGTCAGAGTAATCATTGACATTTTTTGAACCAAACGGAGTAGCACCAAAGGTACAACCATAAGGAATAAAATCCTCGCTCTCATCCATAAGGGATTTATCCACATTAGGTTCTGAGGGAAATATTGACGAAGACGATATAAATTGTCCACTTTCGTCTTCTTCGAATTGTCGCATAAAAATCTCCTCCGCAGCTGAGGCACACGATCGTGTCCGATCACGCAATAAAAACCTGGAGCTCGTCACTGATCCCTCGCCATCAATACTAGAGCAGTTCTGACATCCATAACTCCGCTTTTCAGCTTCAGGCGGACGGTTATCATCATCATCATCATAAGAAGAAGAAGAAGGATCTATCTTCTTATCTCTTTCCTGTATTTCAGCCCGTACACCGGATGATTTTTCGCCAACATTTTCTTCATTTTTAACTTCAGTAGTGCGATCAAAACCCTTAATGAAATCATCCTTTGTGTCACTCTTTTTCCTTTTTGTTGTTGAGGGACTCACTTCTAATGCTTCGAGAAGCTCCCAGTCATCGGGAGAATCTTCCAATGAAAGAAAACGAGATGATTTTTCCGTCATTCCCGTTCTTTTTTTTTCTTTTCGTTTTTTCCCCTTTTTGAGCAGTACGTATGTTTTATCTCTCGTTCTTTATAACTGAAGTATTCAAGAAGAAGCGCACCTTCTTCCCCACTATTATTATTTTTTGGGATGGTCCTAATAAAATATATATATATATGTTTCCCAGCAACTCCTAATAAGAATAAAAAAAAAAAGATGATGGACAGATAAACACAAAAAAAGGTCAAAGACCACCAAAAAAAAAAAAACAATGATAAAAAAAAACTGCATCAATACAATTGATAATCCAGAGAAAATGTAAAAAAAAAAAAAAAAAAAAAAAAAAAAAAAAAAAAAAAAAAAAATGGTCTAGTCCTTCCTTCCTTCCCCATTACCCACCATATGAAGAAATAAAAGCAAAAAGAAAAAAAAAAATATATCGCTGGCTTTCTGTTTATCACTACCATTCATTAAAAAAAAAAAAAAAAATGACCACAAACCGCTATGAGTGTTAAACACTTCCCATGTTGTACAAATACGTTTTGTTGCGTACCGTAATAAAGGTAATATTAAAAGCGCTTTCAACCACACCCCCTCCACGCGTTCCTCAGACCATATCCTAGAAATACACTTACAACACACACACATACATAGATAAAAACACAGAGCAGGAAGTAAGTCATACAGAATATCACTCTGTTGATTTACACTGCAACATGATTTTACCTGTTGACTGTCTGCTTTCCAAGTACTTGTGTGCATCTGCGGCAGCCTTGAGAGGGAACTCTCGTCCACACGTCATTTGCAACTTCTTTTCCCTCACCCAACTCCATAGATCATGGAGCCGCCTTGCCTTCTCTGCAGGATCTCGTATGTAATCCCCCAACGTTGGTCGCTGCAGATAAACACTCCCCGCCTGCATGAGCCGCAGCGGCGTGACGCCCTCAACCGCCCCGCTGGCATTACCAAAAGATATCATAAAACCCCGCGGCCGCAGCACTGCGAGACTGCCGTCAAACGTCTCTCTCCCAACGCCGTCGTACACAACATCAAAGCCGTCGGGCACAATTTCCCGCGCGGCGGCCGCCCAGTCGGCGGTGGTGCTGCTGTCAATGACGTGATCGACACCACCAACGCGGCGGGCGAGTTCGGCCTTCGCGGCCCCGCGGCAAACACCCACGACGACCGCCCCGCGCATCTTCGCCAATTGACACAACAACAGCCCCGTACCGCCCGCTGCGGCGTGCACGAGTGCCCTCGTGTTTGGGCCGCAGGCGTAACTGTCGTGCGAGAGATAATGTGCGGTGAGTCCCTGACAGAAAAGCGCCGCCGCGGTCTTGTCGTCCACGTCGTCTGGCAGCACTGCCGCCTGCGGTGCCTTCACAATTGTGTGAGTGGCGTACGACCCCGTCACACTGCCGAAATACACCACCCGATCCCCAACGGTGGGCGTCTGCACAGCGGCACCGGTTCGCACGACCCTTCCAGCACCTTCTTCACCAGGGATAAAGGGCAACTGAGGCTTCTTGTAGAGTCCAGAACGGAAATAGGTGTCTATGAAGTTTACACCAGCGTAAGTGTTTTGCACAAGTACTTCGTCATCTGCCAAGTGGAGTGTGTCTGGATTAAGGGAACCGACACGAAGCACATCTGCAGAGCCATACTCCGGAACTTCAATTTGCATTTATGTACAAGAATGTATTGTAGAGATAGTTTTTTATTTTATTATTTATTTATTTATTATTGCTTTTGGCTGATGATAGATAGTATTGTGTTTATACAAACCAAAAGAAAAAATAATCAAAGAAGAAAAAAAAAAAGAAGATTAAAGCAGATATCAATATATTCCATTCATTTAGAAAGATATGCGAAGAAGATGAAAGAGTTCAAAAATAATAATAATAACACAACAGTGAATCCCCTCAAAACCCTTTAGATTCCTATTATGCTACATCGTTAAAATAATCTTTTTCATCATGTTTTTCTCTATCAAAACAACATTGGTTCTCTTCGTAAAAATAGGAGAACAAAAGCCAACGCATACCATTGCACAAACTCTATCACCGCAGTCTCAACATAATAATCATCAAACGAGAAGCTACTCCTAGAATAGGCAATCAATATGATCTGAGGAGCAATAATTCCTACAGCATATGGCACACACATCCCACGATAGCGTAAATACAATAACATATTATCATTAAATACACTCTCTTTCCCAGACAGTTTCTCTGTTGAAGCGGCACGCCCTATGGTTGCCATAAGAGTTGTTATTTGGAAGACATTTAATAAACTTCCAATTAAATCAACAGCGGTAGAAATAGTGCGTATAGTTGCACAACGAAGAGTATTTGGATGCATAAAAGTATCCAAGTCAGTAAACATTGATATCATACTACTACCTTCACAGGTACTTTGGAGTACGAAAGCGGAGAATCCCATAATAGAAGCAAATGATGCAACCACAGTTTTTCTTGTTGGTGGAACCTCATAGGCGCATCCCCATCCTATACAAACAAACTGTTGCATAGCAAATATTACAGAACGTATACAAACAGTAAGTACAATTGAAAGAATTTGAATATTACCATGTAAAGATGCATCTGCTGACATGGCAAGATCACGATACTGGGCTAGACGTAGAGCACAGATAATCATTTTTACAAATAGAGACACAAGAATGAGCCATTGTAGTGTAGGATAGAGAATAAAAATATGTTGACAACAAATATTTTGCATTTTTTTCCAAAAAACAGAACAACAATTACATTTTCGTACTACTTCAACATTATCCTCATTACTTTCTCCCATGTTCCAAATAACATCATTTCTCATATTATCACCATTACTATTTCCTTCATACAAATTCACTCCATGTACTTCCCCTCTTTTGCTTACCAATATGTTACCGCTACCTTTAGTCACTTTACTGGTCGTAGTACTGCTGTTACGGGTAGAAGTGCTGCTGTCAATCGTTTCTTCTCTAGAATGAACCGTCTGCGTCACAACACTGGAACCATATGAACAGCAACAAGGTAAAAGTAAAATAAGTAGAGTAACCAGGAGTAATGAATATGCTATAAAAAATGTTAAATATACCATCTCCATAGAAAAATACTCAAGACTACCTTTTCCATCACCGTTAAATATTTTAACTGAAATTCCAACAGTTAAAGGAATATTACTACATTGTACAAGAACCGCAATAACACGTCTTCGGTGTTCTATATCCCAAACAATACCTGGAGCACCGCTAGAAGCAATATCTTCTAAAAAAATTGTATAAGCTGCGGGAGCACTACATAATATAGATGCTAATCCACTATAAGAAGTTTGTATTTCTGATATATTATCAATAGAAATATCTCCATTAGTATCTAGTACAATTTGAGCATCCTGTAAGCGTTTTAAAATGGCTTGCCATTGAGAAAGTTCAAAAATCTTTACCATAAGTCTTGTCTCCATGGCCATAAAAAATGAATCCACAACTATTGGCAGTCGTGAAGGATCACAAGATTCAGACATTACCTCTAAACAAAGGCAATACAATCGTGGTTGTGTCAACATGAAAAAAAGTTTACGTTGGCTGTTCTCTTTCAGTAATGCAGGATACAAAGTGGTATCAATGTAATTATTATAATCATAATTAGCAAAGTTTAGTAAGCCTACTTCAAAAACAATACGACCCGCATGATCCATTGCAAAAGGACGTCCATCTTCATTTAATATATAGGCATAGTTCTTTAACGCTTGACGGGGAACGTGATCAAGGGATGCCGACGATACTGGTGCGAGTTCAAATGTTGCTCGACCATCGCTTAAAGTAGGCACCTCAAAAATTGCCTCAGCAGTATGAGAACAGTTCATCAACGCTAAAAGGAGAAATATTACCCATAAAAAATAAAATCTATTGTTTGCATATTTCCAACATCCATAATAAAAACCATTTGTCCTTCCAACTCTCTCTTGTAGTGCAAAGGAATTAACCATACCTACTACAAAACGTAACAAATAATGGGAATAAAAAATAAAACAATAAAAAAAAAAAATATTTCAGTTGTCTAAGGAAGAAAAACAAAAGCAAAAAAAAAAGAAAAAGAAAACTTAAAGAAAGGCAACAAAGGAATGTAAAGATTCCCTTAAATGAGGAGAGCTAACATTCAAGGTAGACAGGGCATAAGTGAGAAAGCCAACAAAGACTCCAAGAATAAGAAAAAAAAAAAAACAACAACAACAACAGTAAACTCAGTAGCCAAATGGTGTTTTTTTTTTTTTTTTTTTTGCAATAGCATGAAGAAAAAGAGAAAGGAAAAGCCACAGGCAACTATATACCACCTACTCCTTCTCTCTCAACTACAGACAAGCATACACATATACTCTCTCATGTTCATTCATTCATTTTTTTCTTCAATATTTCCTTTCTCCCTTTTCTTCACTTCTGATATCAACTTTCTGGTTCGATCATCGCTCATTTATCACCTTTCTTCTACATGTTCTTTTTTTTTTTTTGAACTCTCTCCCACCACTACCACACACACATATACTTCTCTCTCTCTCTTTCTTTCTTTCTTTCTCAGCTATTCAGTTTTACTGCTCAGAGTACCTGTGTGGGGCTCCCTCGAGTTTCTTCATATCCGCAACCTTTCGTGTTGCCTTGTTGAAGTCTTCATTGATCACATAATCCCTACCTGCGCGGAGGGCGAACATACCCGCCTCCGTACACACATTTCGCAGATCAGCACCGTTAAAACCCTCTGAGAGTTTCACAAGTGAATCATAGTCAATATCTCCCTGCTTACTTAATTTGGATGCGTGTATCTTTAGCACATCAAGTCTGCCTGCTTCATTAGGGAGACCAATCTCTATCTTTCGGTCCAGTCGACCTGGGCGCATGAGGGCGGAGTCGAGAGTGTCTGGTCTGTTGGTTGCCATGATAACTTTCACCTTTCCGAGTTTCTCAAAGCCATCCATTTGATGCAGTAATTCCATAAGTGTACGCTGAATTTCACGGTCCGAGGAAGTTCCTTCAATACGTTTTCCACCAATAGCGTCCACCTCGTCAATGAAGATAATACATGGTTCATGTTCACGTGCGTAGGCGAACATCTCTCGAACCACACGGGCAGATTCACCAATATACTTATCCACAATAGATGATGCCACCACCTTTAAAAAGGCAGCATCCACGTTGGAGGCAATCGCTTTTGCAAGAAGTGTCTTTCCTGTTCCTGGAGGTCCATAAAGTAAAACTCCTTTTGGCGGTGAAATACCAACACGGACAAATAGTTCAGGATTTGTTAATGGAAGTTCTACCACTTCACGCATCTGTCGCATTTGTTCTTGAAGACCTCCAATTTCTTGAAAAGAAACATTCTTTTCATCTCCCATAAATTGCATACTATAAACTTGTGGATCCACTTCACGTGGTAACACCTTAACAATTGTCAGAGTAGTAATTTCCAGGGCAACACGAACACCAAATTTCAATCTTTCTGGTTTAATACTCTTTTTATATCCAACAAGATGACGAGCTCCAGAAACACTTTGTACAATAAAGCGTTCATCATCCACTTGACGAAGGATTTCACCAACAAAGTGACCAATACTCATGAGGGCACTGATTTGATCTTGAACATACTCCAATTCTTCTTGTTGTGTTTTCAATTCTTGAATAAGGGTGCGAAGACGTTCCTGTGTGCTATTTCTAAGCACTGTTTTATTAATAACTTCTTGCAACAAGTCCCTTCGCTCATTGGACATCTGAGGAGCAGAGTTTTGCTGCATATCTACGATTGATAATGCTTTCGCTCCGTATGATTAAATAAAATCTGATAAGGTATACTTCCCTTCTAAACTAATCAAAAAAGGTTTTGATCACTATTGTTCTTTTTTTTTTTGAAAAAGTAATAGGCACATAAATAAAATGGAGAAAAAAAAAACAAAAGAACATTAAGATATCATTTACATGCGAAGAGAGAAAAACAGACTTAAGAAAAAAAGAGCTCAAACCAGTACTACCAATAATAATAATAATAATAATAATAATAATAATAATAATAATGTGTAATATTCTGAGCCATATAATAAAGCTCAGTTATTCACTTACTCGCTTTCTCCTCCTCATAATTTTTCTTTCTTTTTTTTTTTCTTCTTCTATCGGGTTCACCAAAAGAGAATTATAAAAAAAAAAAGTATGTATTTTTTTTTTTTTTTTTGGCAAAAGGAAATAATACACACCTTACTGACTTTGTGAATTTTATGAATAAACATTTGTACGCATCCGTGTATCTGTATGTATTTGTATGTGAAGAACACTCATGGCAATATACCACACGAGATGCCTGTTTATTCTATTTTTAGCCCGAGTGAAAAACTTTCCAAACAGATGAGAGATTCACATCCCAGTCTCTCTCTCTCTCTCTCTTTCTCTCATAAAACAACAACAAGAAAAAAAAAAAAAAACTCAAATAGAAGAAGTAATGTATCTAACTCCCTCCATTCCCTTGTTTCAGAATATGAGTTTTTTTTTTTTTTTCTTCTTTCTTTTTCTTCAATAGCCTTCTCACTCTTCCACCACACACTGTTGCAGAAATAATGTTTCCTCCTTTACGTCCCCGGCAAGTGCACGAGCGACATCATGCGGTGTGCGCAGCGGCCCTGCCCGCACGGCGTACGTGACGCGCCAAACAAATCTCCCGGCCGCTTCTTTTTCATCTTCTCCGCAGACTTTAGCGAGTGTGACGCCGTCCACCATATTCCAATAGGCATAAGACTCCAATGTAAGTGTTGAACCTGTTGTAGTCAAGTCTCTTTCTCCTTCTACATCTTCCACTGTTGGGGTAGTTTGGGTGGAATCTTGTTGTGTGTCTTCATCAAGGTCAAATTTCCATTGACTGGTTTTGGAGGAGTTCACATCGCCAGGCAACGTTGTCACTAGAGGTTTTCCTTTTTCATTACTTCCTTCTTTTATTGTTTGCGGTTCCTCACGAATAAGACGGCGTAGTGAACAGTCATCATTTGTGGCAGTCATAATAGCACGTGCCATCGGACTTCCAGCAGAAACAGACTCAATCACCATTTCACGAGAGAGGCGTAAACCCACAGGTTCAAGCATTGAATCTTCTCCATTTACTTTATCTCTTTCAATCGTAACAGCAATTTGAGCAAGACGGTACTGACGTACTTGCAGAACAACAGCCTCACCAGATGAGTGGGCAGCAGCAGCAGCAGCAGCAAGAGATGCACGAAGTTCATCGGCATTAAAAACACGTCGATAATTTACACCAATGATCATATACACAAAATGAGAATAAAAAGCAGGGGATACACTTGGTAAATTAGTTTCATTTTCTAAGTCTTCTTCATTATTCTTATTTCGATGTATATTGTTAAAACGCAAAGTATCTGCAATACGCACCGCTTGTTGTTGCTTTGCAGCATAAACTTGAAAAGAAAAGTTATTATTATGTTGAAGACATTGTAAACGAAGTGTGCCACGTTGTACACGTATTCCCCACTTTCCAACTGGAGCTTCAGCAGTACGATTCACTACAATAGTTACAACACTACGTTTCTGTTGTGCTGTAGTTAGTGAAGTACACTGTGAACTGCATGGTGGTGGCACTTTTCCACCCACATGATCTTCTGGGTTTACTATTGTGTTATTTTCATCTTTACTCAGTTTATGAGATTCGTTTTCCACTCTACTAGCCTTAGCATTAACATTTGCACTATCACTGGTAATATTAGTAGAGTCAACCGTACCTGATAGAGATGAAAGCTCTTTTGCAACTTTTACAGAAGGTAAACACTGGGTCAAGATAGATTCTTCTTCATGTTTACTAAGAACTAACTCTAATTGAAGAAGAAGAGTTTCCACCATTTCCCCATCTCTTTTTTTTATTTGTAAGGATCTAACCACATCACTCTGAGAGGAGACTGAAATACCATTAACAGAGCGTACTATATACTTCCCATTAATAGACTCTTCTTCTTCCTTTGTTGTTAATGTTAGTTTTGGGTTAACCGTGGCTACAACTCCCGATAATTCATTCTTCTGCAGTAAATTTGACAGGTTTAACACTACGAGAGAATCACCATCAATCTTTAATCCCCATCCTTCTTTCTTTTCACCTTTCCTTTGATTATTATTATTATTATTATTATTATTGTGAGTTTTAGTAAGCAGCAATTTCAGAGTGGGTGGTAGTAATCGCTGGAGAGTATAGGGTTGGCAATTACCAACTCCACTATCATAACATTCAACAGGGTTCTTCACAACTGATTTAAACTGCAGAAATACTTCCCGTTGCTTTCCCAGTCCAACAAAAGTGGCTGCCACTTGACGACGACCAGAGACAGCAGTGTTATTAATACTCGTCAGCATCCATTTACATCGACGAAGCAGTGTACATAAATCTGTTGGTGTAGATACTTCCGAACTAGTACTTGTAACATTAGATGATGTAGATGATGATATAGTAAATACCTCATGAAGTCTTGGAAGAAGTAAATTGTCATCACTACTACTAAACGACATAGATATTACATCATCATCGTTAGATAGAGAATCCATTCCAGTTACTGCCCTTGTTATAAACTGACGTAAAGCAGCTAATTGTAACTCTTTATCATTCTCTTCAATAGAAGTATCCTGCTTTGGCAATAACCAAGTTTTCCAAAAATGTCTCTGTGCAGCAGAATTTCCTGCAAGAGTTCCACCAAATCGTACTCGACCCTCTGCCAATATACTTACATCATCAATAGCTGAAAGATAAAGAGCACTAGTAAGATGTACACCCCACTTTTGCTCTTCAGATCGACGACGTAAGTGTAAATCCAACTGTAATATTACCTCATTACCTCCTTCTTTAATTTCTTTATTAGTCAATATAGAATTTTTCAATATAATTCCATTCTGTGCGTTTGAATGCGGCAATACTAAAGAATCCGATGCTGCCAACTGATGTAGTACCTCTTCACGTCGTTTACTACCAATATGTCTATTACGCTTAAAAAGATATTCCGCACAGGCATCTAATACGTCATGATCACGACAATAGCATGCTTGACAAAAAGATGGTGCTGTTAATCGTGAAGTCTCATTATCAAGTTCTCTACGAATACGATGAACCTTATGTTGTAGGGCACTATCTTCTTCTCGTTCTATACCAGTAAGAATAAAATATTCACGCAATAAATGTCCAAGAGCAGAAACCCCATTACGAACAACAGCGTGAATATGAACAGTAAAAAGGCGATCAATAGTTTTCAGAGCCTCATCTGGGGTGTTAGGGGAGGCATGAACAAGGTTTCCCTGTAAGTGACGTTTAACGTGACCAAGAGCAACATACTCATCACGTGCAGGAGGAGAAAAAAATTCTTCAGCAAGCAATCCAGAAGAAAGACGAGCTCCAATGGTTGTTCGTTCCAAAATTAAACTTTGTTTTAAAAGCATTGATGGTGAAGGAAGTTCAATCATTGAGCTTTCTTCTTCTTCTTTTTTCCCTTCTACTGCTGCTGCTACCGTTGTCGATGTAGATACGGTTGATGAAAAACATAAAGAATCATCTTTTTTGGTTATAGAAGGTAATATTGATTGTTGTAGAGATAATCTATCATTTCCAAGGATGCGTGCGGCATCAAAATGAATTGATTTAATAGGTGCCTTATCCTCTAATATTGTAAAATTCATTGTAATAGGTCGAATAATAAATCGACGGAATAGCAATGGTGATGCCTCACTACGCACATCCAGTAACTGACGACATGCATCACTCATACCAAGAAGCAACTGCGGTGCGTGAGCTTCACGAAGCAAGGCAAGCATATTTGCTTGAGTCATAATAGGGTGATTGGTCTCATCTGATGCGAAGAGCTCATGTGGATAGACACCACGGAGAAAAGGAATGAACACATCCTCCACACTACACTCCGCTGCCTCTGCCTCACTACGCACAATCATCACATGCTCTGCCTTCACTGTGGTTAACATGCGTCGCTGCGCATCCTCACGGAATTCTGGGCGCAGCACAACATCACCAATCAACACACGTCTTCCACCAATCCGCAGTCGTCGTGATGCCATCGTATTCCACACCGCACAGCGAAGGGCGTTTAACCAGCGACGTCGCCAGACGTACGGTAGCCGCTGCACCGCCGCCGCCCAGTCCCCACCCGTGCGGATGTAACTTCGCAGCGCCTCCCGCACGGTGGCGTCTGTTGTCGCGCGGCGTGCGCGGGCGGCGGCGATGACGTTCGGGCGGGCGATGAATTGCCGCAGTGCGAGCGGGGCGTTGCGGCGGTGGAGGGCGTTGAGGAGCGCCGACTTGTGAAATCCGTGCAGGACGTCCGTGGCGGCCCGCGCCAGCGATGCCTCGCGGTTGGCGCAGAAGAAAACGGCACCAACGGCCCGCACGGCGCCCAGGCGGTGTTCCAACTCCTCACGGCTGCCGCAACTCACACGGCGGAGGAGAAGTTCAACCTCATGCAGAGGCTGCCAACGGGCAAGTTCACCAAAGAGTTCCGCACTGAGTTTCTCATCTTCTACAGCACGGATAGATCCAACACGAAGAACAAAACCAGGGTGTCGCATAGTGTTTAACAGTAGTAAATGTTCACGTTGTAAATGATTGGGAGCGACTGCACACAGAACTGTACCACATGACATTTTAGATACTGCCGTACAAGTGTAAAAAGCTCGTTGAGGTATACTAAAAAGGGCTGCCATATGTCCAATAGCATTTTGTAAAGAGACATTCTCTGTATAAAGAACAAAAATAAAGGCAGGACTTTTACTTGGTGGAAGATTTTCTGTAAATCCAAGCATAGGAGGAGGTGCAGTATCAAGATATAATAATACATCTTCCATAGAAAGAGGTTTGTAGTTACTTTTTCGAGTTTTTACTTCTCCAATTTCTAAAGCTTCAGTTAATTTCATTCGTTGAGATAGATTTAAAGGTAATTGTTGTGGTGTTTGCTGACGAAGATGCAAAACAAATCGAAAAAGACACAATACATCGGAAGGAGGTATTGGTTCAAGACGAATGGAACCACCAGAAGGAACAAACCAAGGTGTACTAACGCCGTGTGCAACTATCATATTTTCAGTTTTAACATTTTGGCACACTGGGAGTTTTTTCTTTTCTTCTTCATCTTTACTGCATAAAATACTCTCATCAGCTGCTTCTGATTTTACCTTTTCCCCTGATGATGATGATGCTTCTGTCATTACTACCTCTCCATTATGCCTATCTTGATTTTCAAACGCCAAAAAATCATCATCTGTTAGTGACATCTCTGCTCCCACCTGATCGTTCACTATTTTTGATTCTGTAGCCCCATGAACTTTTTCAATCGATGAAAAGTACGTTACAGCGTCCACCTCACGCATTGTAGCATCACCATAATGAACCTCATGCAGAGCTGTTAAACGGCGTATCTCAGGAAAGAGACGTTCTGTAATTCCAGAATCAAACTCCACCTCCGACAGTGCCCACTTCTTACGTCGACGTTCAATCTTCTCACGGGCAACGTTAGCGGCGCCGGATGAAACTGTCTCTCCTTCTCGCATCCCTTCTTGTTGCATTTCCGAAGTTAAACGTCGATGAAGTTCAAGTTTCTTGTCAGTTATAGGATGCGTTGGTGAAGAAGAAGGAGAAGAAATCAGTGTAGATGACAATTCGGTAACTTCTTTTGAAGAAGTCATAGAAATGTTTTCTTCTGCTTTCATTTCAGAATTATCTTTTAAATCAGCCACGAAATTTTTTTTTATTTTTCCCTTATTCCTACCGCTAATCACAGATCGTTTTGAAGTATTGTTTCGAAGACTTTTACCATATGAACGATGTTGTAATGGTGGTTTCACATCATCACTATTCTCATTCTCCTTGTTGTTGCTGCTGTTTGTAGTAGAGGCAATCCACACACTGCGGGTCTCCCTGAGAAAATACAGTACCACACTTCGTCGGGCACGTGGAAGTCGAGTTGGGGCAAACAACATTCCTTTGTCTTCCAGATTTGGACTGCTGCTATACCCTGGGTAAAGGGTTTTTTTTTTTTTTTTTTGTTTGAAGAAGAGCAAAAATAAAAATAAAAAAATAAAGAAAACAGTATAACCAACAAAAAAAAAGAAGACTTGGATTGACAATAGAAGAATAATCATATCAAATTTATAAGTACAAAAAAAAAAAAAAAACAATAAAAGTAAAAAAAAAAAAATTAACGGTGAAAAATAAGCATCTGGCAAAAAATGAGAGAAATGAGGAGCGAAACTCAAATGAGATACAGTATATGTGGATATTTAAAGTTTCCATGTGCATAATCTTTAATGTTTCGCTTATGAGGGAAATTTCTCTTTTCTTTCTGTCAGCTTCGTTTCATCTTATACTGTGCTATTTGTGCTTCCTAGGTGTAATAGGGAGTGCCTCCCCCCTTTTTTTTTCCCTTGCACATGCACTTGTCTCCTTTAAAATGAACAAAAACAAAAGTGAAGAAAAAAAAAAAAAAAAGAAGGTTCAAATCATCCTTTTTTTTTTTTTCTTCTCTTCATCCTCAAAAGAAGCGACGCATCAGTTCAATGCATCCAAACCACCACCACCACTAACTTCTTCTTTTTCTTCGTCTTGGGTCAATACTGCCTGTGCCTCATCAGAAGCATCGTTTTTATCATTATCACCATTGACTGATGTCTTTCCCTCTTGTTGAGCTTTGGTTTCTTCTTCTTCTTCAGCGCCTACAGCCTCCAGATATAACTTTACTTTTTCTTCAGCTTGCATTTCTTCCTCCTCAGCAGTAGGTGGATACAAGACATCTTCAAACATAAAAGACGTTACAACTGTACGTCCACCAAATAATCGACCCACAATTGCGCGTTGAGCTTCAGCAGCTTCATCAATCGTTTCGTACTCTACAAATACACGACCAAATCCACCATGAATAGGGTGCATTAATTTATCTGTATATGCTTCACGAGCCTTTAGATACTCTGCCTTTTCTCGTTCGTATCGAGCTTCATCATCATTATCACTATCCTCACTTTCTTCATTGCTGTCACCAATACTACCGCCTCTGTCATTTACTTTTCCGAATGTTGTCATACCATTTGTAGCATTATTCTCTGATGTTTCCCCTCCTGATGTATTTGAATGTGTTGGAACAGGCATATCTAATTCATCTTCATTTTCTCCACCTTTCTTCTTACTCTGATTTTGACGTCCACGATCACGACCACTAGCAGTGGTAGACTTTTTTGTTGTTCTCATACGAGATGAGTAAAGATTTTTTGGCGGTTTTGGTGGAATTGGAGGGGGAGTACGACGTGGTACAATAAGTGACTTAACACGTCCATACTTTTCCACTTCACTTGATATCTCATCTAAAAGACGTTCATAAGTTTCATCAAGTACTAATTCTTCTTCATCAAATAGATTAAGAAGAACCAATACACGGGTAGGAAAAATAGGAACACTGCTACCGTACAAAGTCGTGAGATGCGGAAAAGTTTTAGCAAAATGCAAAACAACATCTGGTAATGGTACAGTAAGACCAACAAGTTCTTTCATGTGATCTACCGGTTCGTCTGCCTTGGCAAGATCCTCAGCGAGGAGCGGAACAAGAGCACCAGTGGACTGTGCATCCTTCGCAAGAAGTGAGGCACCAGAGACGGGATCATCAGGGTCAAGCGTAACGTCAATACCGGCATGTGTACAAACAACTTTTAGCCAGTCATAAAGTGGCAGTAATACCACTACATGAGTACCAAGTGTCTCACCATGCAGATCACGTACACAGTCAACCGCATCTGACTCTCGCTCAAACTCAGCGTAAGCCATCCCTGCCTTTACATCAAAGGCTAGAATGGATCCAAATTGCTCAAATACCATTCGTAATTTCTCAGCTGAAAGTGATGCAGGGAAACCAAGCATCACTACTTTTCTGTGGTCTACGCCTGGTAAACTTTGATAGTCACGTGGACGTCGAATAGTGATGGGGTATGATTGTCCGTCTGCAGCGATAAAAGTAAAGCGTTCAGGATCTCTCTGAGATTCTTCTACAAGTTCTGTTACAAGATCAGCGAGGTTAACTTCAAGAAACGCAAACGGTTTCGACTTAGCACTGTTTACAGAGAGATCAATCACACGATCTACATCTACAACAGCATTTGAAGGGATAACACGTCGTTCCCCTTCATCAATAACACCACCATTATTATTTTCACCTCCCATACTCTCAGCCAGTTGATCCATTTCACGTTGTACCTTAACACGACGCACCATAGGGATGATAGTTGTGAAGTAGTCTAACAAATCTTGTCGCGAAGTATGTTGTGGAAAACATGAAATATGAGCACGACGAGCTTCTCGTGCACGTCTTTCAGCTTCAGGAGAGAGTTTAGGTGCTTGGAGAACAGCTAATGCTCCTGTAGTAGTTGTTAATACACCTTCTTGCCCATTATCGTTTTGACCACCTTCTGCTGCAGAATCATTTTTAGTCTCACCACCACTTGTATCATTTTTACTAGGTGGTACCCCTAAGAGGTTAAGGAGACTTTTTGGAATAACAGGGACAAAATCGGCTACAGATGGTAAAACTTTCACTGGAGCTGTTGGTTGAGTTGGAATTTCCCCATTTTCTTCATTCTCTGCTGGCTGCTCTTCTATTTGTTGTGGTTCTTGTTCTGTATACCCAGTAGTGTTGGAAGTTTCTTGAAAAACTTGTGTTTCGTTACCTGATCCCAATACTGCTTGAGCTTGAGCTTGAGCCTGAGCCTGAGCTAGATAATCCTGTTCCACAGCTGCATGTAATTCTTGTAGTTCTTGCTCATGTTGAAGTTGCTCTTGTTGCTGTTTAAGAAGTGCAAAAAGAACATCTGGAGAAACTGGTGCTCCCATTCCCCCTGGTATTGTTTGTATACCAGGATTCAACAACTCCTGCACATTAACTTCTTCAAATCTTGAACGAGCAAGTTCTCCTTTTCTCGAAGTACTGGAGGATGAAGAAGAACGGGAACGGGACCTACGGTGCCCACGTCTACCAGTCTCCTTGCTAGGAGCTCTTCTGCTAGTTGCTGGACGTCGTCGTTGCCGCTCATCACTCGCCGATCGCCGCCTGCGACGGTGACGCTCGCTGTTCCGCTCATCACTGCCACCGCGACGAGAACCTCGCGGGGATCGTGACCGCCGGTTGCCTGCGTAGCGCCCGTAACGCGTGGAAGCCGCTGTGGCCGCCGTGGAGGAATTACCGCTGGGTCCCTCTGGAATACCGTGCCGGTCGCTGGTGTCGTTGCGGCGACTGTAGCGATCCCCACGACTGTCGCGTCCCATTTCTTTTTTTTTTTTTCTTTCTTCTTTTCTCTTTGGGTCTTGTATTACTTTTGTCTTTTCAACTCTTCTTTTTTTTTTTTTCCTTTCTTCCGTTGTTGTGTTATTCTTCTTCTTCTTTATCGTCTGTTCCTCCGGGTTTAGTTTCACTACCTTCCGTCTGCTGCGGAGGATACATGCACAGCAAAGAGTTACACAACCGCGAGAGAAAGAAATGGAGAGAAAGCAAAATAGTCAAAGTCAAAGAAGAAAAACGTAGAGGAAAAATATATATACAAAAAAAATAGAAAATGGAATAATAAAGGAAGGAAAAGAAAGGACTATTTTGTGTTGGTGTGAAACGAGTAGAAGAAGAGGAAAAACCACACAATGAAAAATGATTCTTATTTGTTTTCCTTTTACCCCTCAACTCCTGTTTACCCCTTCAATTACGCACATATCCGTATTGTATTACTACTCAGAAGGGCTACAACGGATTCTCTCTATAATTCTTTTTCCACTTATTCAAGAGACCCCCCAAAAATAAAATAGGCACAGAAACAGAAAATGCCCTTAAATAAAAACAAACACTTGATAGGGCAACAAAGACACGTTTTTTTTTTTTTTTTTTTTTCTTCTCTTTATCCTTTTTTTTTTTTTGACCAACTGTTCATTTTATAGAACAAACTCAAATAAAAACACCTTCTCATATAATTTCTTCCAATTCCACACTTTGGTCGAGAAGGTGTAATATCCCGAATAGATGGTGTGAAGTTTATCATTATCTCCATTACAGATTTGCCTCATTCCTTCAAAACACACAGATCCCAACATCATTCGTTTTTCATTCATTTGTTATTATTATTATATATATATCAGTGTAAATGAAGATGACTTGCGTAGTGCAGTAACTGCTGCTGTACTGCTGCAATCGGCAGGGCCATAGAACGTTGCTGACGCACATGTTCCATGCAACTTTGTTCAATAGAGACATTTTCTTCAACTGCAGAATTCGCTCCTGCTGCATCTTGAGTAATCACTTTTTCTTCTTCTTCTTCTTCTTCCTCTTCTTCTTCAGTTGCTCCCACTGCAGCTCCTGTAGATATACAGCTATCAAGAACCTCTTGGCGTTCCTTCTGGTTACGTAATACCGCAGAAAGATATGATGGCGTTGTTCGTTGTTCCTTATTCTGATGTTGCTGCTGTTTTAGCTGTTTTTGTTGTTGTTGTTCATCTTTCACTTGGATTGCCGTTGTTGTTGTTGTTGTTGCTGTGATGGTGGACGTTATTTTTGCAGGAAGTTTACCATGTGATAGGGCGATAAGCCACAGTAAGTATGCGATAGCTATACCACTTGATCGATGCATACCCGCAGAGCAATGTAAAAGAGAACTCCGACGACAGAACCTTTGCTTCTCCAGATCAAAATCTTTAGAAAATTCATCAATAGGAAATAGTGAAGTGCCATGTAAGAAACGGAATACACCTTCTTGAAAATGTGCGGAAAGATCATAAGAGTTACGGTCCTCAGCGGGAACAACAAGTTTAGTAATACGTCGGTTGGTATACGGCAATTGTGAGCTATACACCATATATGGACCAAATCTAGTGTATGGTGTCCACACAAGCGGGGAAAGAGAAGTGGTGAAAATATCACAGGCAAATTCCCATTCTTCATTAGATAGAAATAATAAATGTGCCATTCCTGTTTCATTACAAGCAGCATTCTTGCTATTACAGCAGTTTGGCTTCTCTAATAACAATCGACGCCAATAATATAATGCATCTGAAGTCATATCTCTTGCACGAGTTGCATTTCGAGTTGTACGAGTATCATTTGACTGTATGGATATTGGCGGTTCCGCATAACACTGAAGTACTCGAGTAATGTGTAAAACTTCAAGTAAGAGAGGTTGACTTGCTGGTTCTTTTCCAGCAATATAGACTTGTGCATATTGTGGTGTCCAATCTTCTAATCCTTCTGATGTTTCACAGTTAAAACGACCCACCAAAAGAGGTTGTGCCCCACGACGTTCGGCTTCTTTCTCTCCACACATTACATAACTTCGTAGAAGTTCCTTAAATGTTACCAAATGATGACGTACAAAACAAAGTGCACGATACTCTAATGAAGAAAGAGAACGTGATTGAGAGATACTTGTATGCTGTTGTTGTTGTTGTTGTTCTTGCCTCACTTGAGCAGCGATAACAAGAAGGAAACTTTGATAAAATTGACGTAGAAAATCACGCATGCTGTTATTCTCTAAGCATTCTTGCTTTCCTTTATTTTCCACTTTCATCTCAGTAGAAAATAATACATCATCAATTTTGGAGATATTACTGTTGAGAGGAAGAAGTGCAACGGCAGAAGCAGAGTCAATAGAGGCTTTACGCACCTCCAGACAACGATGGGGTACAAATCCCGTGTCAGATTCTTCTTCTTCTGTTGTGTAGATACTGTAGGATTCTTTTACTGTTTGTACATCACCTATATTGCGCATTATTGTATTAACTGTTTGTGAATTCTCCTTCTTGACCTCCATCTCTTCTTGTTCCTCACAATCGTCTTCTTCATCTCCGTAATCTTCCCGTTCTTCTGAAAGTGATGATACAAATGGGAGACGTAATTGTATAGTACGGCCACGTCCAACCTTTCGCCGTTTACTACGACGACTGTGATGATTACCGTTCTTTTTCTTGTTGTTGTTGTTGTTATTATTATTATTTGGGGTTGCGGTTGCTGCTGTGGTAGCTGCTTCCATCAACGCCTCTTCAAGTGATGGAAATGCCGCTACAGCAGAGCGTGATGGTGGATGTTCCACTACTGTTGTGATTTTTTTATTCGTTTCTTCTGGTTTAATCTCACTGTACATTGGGTTTGGTGCTTTCGCCAGTAGCACCTCCATCAAGTCCACATTCCACGTCATGGAGGAGAAGAGAAATGCCACATCTTCTTTTGAAAGCAGAGATGTAGTGACAACACTGCGGGAAGTATCGCGGAGAGAGTTCTCATCGCTGTGTTGATCATATTTTTTTTGATAATGATATGTTTGATTTTTTTCTTCTTTCTGCAGCTTCAACTGCTGCATATGGATGTTATTGTTATTATTTTGCTTTGACGGGCTAAAGGACGGGTGATAGGCGCAACTCGCACTGGTAGTTGCAGATATAGGCATTGCAATAGGACCCAACTAAATTCTCCACGTACAGATATATATAAATATATATCTATATATCTATAAAGATATTTTATATCTTTATGGGTCTTTGCCTTCCTTTTTTCCTTCCTTTTACTTTTTTTTTTTTTTGATGAGTATGTGAGTATGTACAGATGTAAATAATATTGCTTTTCTGATTATTGTTGGTTGCCCTTTACCTACACCCCACTTTGCCCCTACAACCAAAACAAAGAAGCAGAAAAGAAGAAGAAGAAAAAAAAAGAAGACAAAAATGAAGAAAACACCCTCTCACTCTCTTCTTTAGGTCTTCGTTAGAATACCGTCAAATAAAGAATGAATAAAAATAAAATAAAAAAAAAAAACAACAACAACAACAAAAAGAGAAAAAAAAAACAACTCCCCATCTTTGAAAAAAGATGGGAAACCAAGAAAAAAAAAAAAACTGAAGAAAAAAAAAAGAACACGCAAACACTAAAGCATATTTCAGACCTGCGAAGCAGGCAATATATATATATATATATGAATATAAAAACTTATATGCACTGATTTTCCAGGGTTTAATAACACTAGATCTCTTTCTCTCACTCTCACTTTCACTGTCTCTCTCTTTATTTATTACTGTTTTTTCTGTTTCCGCCGTTGTTGTTGTTGATATTGGGCCGCGGCAAATGCCGTACTTTTTGCATTATGCAACAGCCACTTGTTCAGCGTTACGTCATCGTACATAACCAGACAAATAAGAAACATATAAGCATAAACTGTCCAGTGATCGTGTCCACCTCGCAGTAACTTACTTAGATAATACACCTGCCATGTCCAGTTCGTGGCACAGCAGAGTATATACACCACTACCGCTATGAAAGAAAGCACACGCGCAACATTTGGTGGAACTCCAAGAAAGCGTGAGGCGAGTAGAACATTCACACAATATGCAAATGTTGAGAACGCCGCATACACTACAAGACACCGACATATATTCTCTTTTTGATAGTCATTTGTTATACTAAAGAAATTGAATAATAACACACAAAGATGATGTGTCCATGTAGACCAACTCATACGTTTTACCACAATCATCGATACAAAATCTGGTATAGTGTATATACATCCAAGATTTTGAAGTGTGTTCGTATCCCATTCATCAAATAGAATAATGTGTATGAGATGAAATGTAGCGAATGGCACTAGTGAAACAAGAATACCTGCTTTAATAAGATTTGCAATGGTGTAAAACTTCTTATCATGTGAAATACGTCGAAAGGAGTGAGAACATCGACCTAGGAAGTAGTATGCCATATAGTAACTCGCCAGTATCATGTATGTACCAACTATAAAGAGTCCTATATGATCACGAGTATCCAGTACGTGTTGCTGCAGGAATTGCACCACAACGAGATTCATCGCAGCCACACAACTACACACAATAATAGCGGGTCGTGTGTGCAGTGTCGCCTCCCACGGACTATTCCCTTCACCAACATATGCACGCACAAAAGAAGTCGCACTAAAAGATGGGAGTGCAGGGAAGAAGGAGACATCACCACCTTCTCGTTGTGGAGTTTCTTCTTGTATAGTAACAGGTGTTTGTATAAGGGAGGATAATGAATCATCCGCGTTAAATCGGGGATGAGAACGGCGATAATGTACACTATTTACAGAAGCCGAAGGATGTGTATATGATGTGGACTCTCTACGGGGGAATTGTAGAATACGACGCATTATCGGGTCGTGAAGGACTCGTGTAGATCTTTCTCTCGTATAACTTGCAATTCCTTCCATAGTAGAATTACCACCTAAACGTTCATAATCATTATAATCATCATATTGTTGTTGCTCCTGTTCTTCTTCTTCTCCTTCATCGGCAGTTGTATCACCCTCATCATCATCATTATCTTCGATTCGATCTAAACAATTTTCATTCGTTTGTGTTAATAAAAGTTTAAGAAATTGTCGACAGCAGGGACAACGGAATCGGTGTGTTGACTGTTTGTTGTTACCAAGTATAGGAGAAGACACAACATCACTACAAGCCACAATGCGAAGTTGTGCAATGATGGTTGCCATCTCTTCTCTTGTGAAGACTCTCTCAGAAGTTGCAGTTTCCATCATTGTATCATAATCACTTTTCTTTCTTCTATTGTTGTTACTATCGTTGTAATTATTTCCATTGTCATCCTTTCTATTAAGGATGCTAGACACATTTCTCTCCCGTTTTAATCCTTCTTCTTCTTCTTCTACTATTTCTACTTCTGGATGTATTACGGAGGCTGCGGTATTTTCCGTCGTTTTTTTATTCATCCAGTTAACATCGGAGAGTCGAGCGTGTTGTGTGGTTACATTTCCCAATATATCTGCATAATGTTGCTGTGAGTGAGAGAGGTTATGAGGCGCAAGAGAAAGAGAGGAATGGAGTTGCTGCGGTTGCAAGAGCGGTACACTTCTCCCTACAAAGTAATCTACATCGGTATTATCAGAAAAGAGTGGTACATGATGATAATACTCATAGGACTCACTCACATTACTACTGTTACTCCTGCTGCTGCTGCTACTGTTATTGACATCTTCCTTATTATTATATTCTTCCATATAACCGGCTTCCGCTTTTATCTTTTCGCTACTGTTAGTACTAGTATTAGTGAACATTCCAGATTCTTTGCTTTTTATGGGATACAGCTCCATTGCCTCGGTTCCACTACTATCACTATTGCCATTCATTTGTATCTCATTCTTCATTCCTTGCAATGCAGAAAACTAAACAAACAAATCGACACACATACATACATACATGTATAAACAAAAAAAAAAAATGAGACATAGATAGACAGAAAGAAAGAAAGTGCAATTTATGCAGTGACGTTTTCTCTCACACCTCCTCTTTCCTCAGAGCACTTGACAAAGTATACCAGACAGAGATAAATTTCTACTTCTCATAGGAAAACAACGAACAAACAGAAGAAGAAAAAAAGTCACTCCCTCTCTATATAATCTTCTATCCTCTTTTTTTTTTTTTATTTTCAGGATAAATCCAACTCTGAGAGTTACAAGAGGAAAATGCGAGGCAACGTACTAACGAGAGCAGAGATCATATCCGTAGACTTGAACGAATACAAAGAAAGAAAAAAAAAAATTACTCAATAATAATAATAATTCTCGTACTACAATCATGTTAGATACAGACACATTGCCGCAGGGATTAGAGTAGAGATAGATTACAACAAAACAAAAATAGAAACCACAATACGGAGAAAGAGTCAGGGGCACTGGGGAGGGGAAGGTTCATAATAAATGAAGGTACAGGTACCTTTTCCTCCACGTTGGCAGGTTCCCTAATATATTTCTTAAAAAGGGCTTTATATATATATATATATATATAACAGTTACCGATGTTCATATTGGAAAAAGACACAAATACACAAGTACCGTACAAACGAAAGAAAAGAAGAAAAAGTATTATTCTACCCGAGACAAAGAAAGAAAAGAGAAAAAAAAAAAAAACACTGTTTCCTTACCCCAGTCTTTATCTCCGTTTTGCAGCTTCTAATATTGTTTGAGTGACTCTGTTGAGTATAGGGAGAGAAAAATATATATATATATATTGAAATTCATTCCTTTTTTTTTTCTCTACTCTCCCTTATTTCCCTACATCGCTACAGCACTGCATTTTCACTTAGTGGTACTATATTAGATGCTGGGGTATTTGTTGGTGAAATCGCCATTGCATTCTGCCAACGTCTTCCCGCAATTCCAATGAGAAAACTACCAATATTTACAATAGGATTTCTACTGTTTGCATATATAGAATGAAATACATGCCATTTACCTTCTCTCTGTATGGGCATAGAACCCCCAGGATGATCTGTATCGAGTTTTGCGGTTTCATCCACGACACTTTCTGGTGGGACCCACGGCTCTGAAGTTAATGATGTGGATGGGAATATACTCACCAAACCACCAATGCTGCTTGTGGCTGTGGGGTTTGCCATTTCCATGCGGGTTGCCCCTCTTGCCACGCCTGACCACTGTCGCAATACCACAAATGTAGACATGATCGCTGCAAAGAAGGTGAATTGCAACAACCACACACCGAGGTGATTGGCACTGGTGGGAAGGATATACTGCAGCCAGAGACGCCAATTATCCAAGGCATCACTCTCTTGAGTATCATCACGACACGGTAATCCGTGAATAAGGAGATTCCAAAGTGAACCAATAAACCATTCACCAAAAGATGCATACTCAGGGCATTCCAACAATTCACTTGTTTGTTCCCATGTCCAGGAAAAGATAATCCATTGAAGAGTTGCAAAGCTATTAACAAAGATAAAGAACCAAATATGATTACTCTCTGCAATAGGGCAATCAAGAGCAATGCTATAACTATCAAAACGACGAAGAAGAACATCACGCTCATAACAATAAAAAGTTCGAAGAGGTATCATAATATGTCGATCTACCCATAAAATACGAGGATGGAACCAACGGTATGCAGATTTTTTTATTAATGGCCAAACAGGTGAAGTTTCAAGGGTACATGTTTTAGTTTCACAAACAGAACGCATCGCCAACAATTTGCACATGATCACACTTATCCCAGTAATACAAAGAAGAGATACAACAACGAATTGTTGTAAATCGGCTCTGCTTTCAAAAAAGGTTCCCCACCACCTATTTCTCCCAGATGCAAAAATACTTTCCACTTTACAGCTTTTAAGAACCACCTGCTCTGTAGGATAATACCATAGTATAGGTGCAAGACCCATTTTTGCCCAAGCAAGTTGTTGTATTATTAAAAACGTAATTAATGCGAAAAGACAAGATGCATCTCGATTTCTGAAAAGCCATATACCACGAATAGAATCGGCAAAATTACTGGCAATTCCCATTTTTTGCATTGATGTTAATTCCGGTTTACCACCTTGTACTGGATGTCCAAGTAACAGCATCCATAGTGTATTTTTAAAGAAAAAAGGTCCCAATACTGCATGACTCAATATTGGTGGAATAAACATAGTTGCCAAAAATGAAAGTAATACATGTACAGAACCAAAGATAGACATGAAAAAGAAGAGTGGTTCACGAAGCATCATTGTAATTGTACCACGGCGTCTGTTTTCTTGTACATTGGTGTAACCTTTTAACGATAAAAGGGAGGGTGATGTATCACTTGTTCTTTGTGAATTAAAACCATTTGATCGTAATAGAGAATATTGCGTTAAGACATATACACTTTCTCGGTGGTTACGATACTGTGCATACTGAAGAGCTGTATAACCATCCATGTCTTTCAAATCTGTACGAGCACCACATGAGAGAAGGTATTCAATGACTTCAGCATATCCTTCACGGGCAGCCCATATAAGTGGTGTGCGTCCATTATTATCAGGGGTGTTTATTTCTAGATGACATTTCTCAATAAGGTACTGACATATAACAGCAGAATTATTGTAGGCAGCCCAGTGCATCAAGGAATGGCCATCCTCATCTCGATCTTGCTCTTCAATAGGATGAAACTCACATAGCATTAAGAGCATTGGAAGATTATTATTCTGTACAGCCAAAAAATAAGCATTATACCCTTGTTTATCCTTTAATTTGATATCTGCTCCATTATCAAGAAGTAATCGTACAATTTCGTAGTGTCCACCTGTTAGTGCCCATAACAGAGCTGTATGTCCCATACTATTTGCACTATTTACATCCACTTCCTGGTCAAGAAGAAAGCGAACAACGTGTTGGTGACCACGCAGTGCAGCCCACATAAGTGGTGTGGCATCTGTTCCCTCGTAAATAGAAACGCGGTTTTTCAATTCTTGACCCTGTGCCCAAAATGTAATAACATGGGCAAGACTTCCATATGCACATGCTTCTTCCACACTAGATGGAAATAAACGACGTTGACGTTCAATAGCCTCTGCTTGCTCACCCCGTGGCTGCCAGGTCTTAAGCATACCGCATGTTAAGTATGGGTAGTAAATGGGCCTGTACTGTTTATAATAATTATCACAACCGGGGTAATAAACATCAAACCCAGCTTGTGCATCTACGAAATTCATTCCTACTTATTTTGCTGTATTCCCTTTCCTTCCCTTCCTTTTTTTTTTTCTTTTCGTTCCTAATGTACCCAAAAAAATATTTGAGAGCTTTTAAACTACTGAGAGCAAACAAAAAAGAAAAGGAGGAAAGGTAAATACATAATATTTTACGTCTTTCAGCAAAAATTATCTCAAGAGAATGATAGAATGGCAGATAAAGATGTACAATACAAGGGAAATGAAGCAAAGGTTCAGAAGTGTAACTCACTAGAATGGAGATACTTCATACCTTTCTCACAAATCACCTCTTATTGTAGCGTAAATAAAATAAGTGTGCGTACCAAATAAAAAAAAAAACCATATATATATATATATATATATTTTCTTTTTAACTATATCTACAGACTTCAAAGATAAAAAAAAAGTAATCTAATACAGGGCATCCTTCTTCTTTATTAACCCCCATTTTTTTTTTTTTTTTTTACTATCATCACTCAAAATAAGTGTCTATAGTAAATGCAGATATGTCGTCACTCCAGTTAAGTGGCCACAGTCGCACAAACGACGTACACACACACACATTATATATATATATATATATATATATATAAACAAACAACAATAATAAGAAAGAGTTCCTTGATAAGGCGAAGAAGGGTATATGATCATGTATATATATATATATATATATTTTTTTTTTTACCTTTTTCTTCCCCTTTTATTGGTATCCTTGTGCCCATTCAGAGACACCCTTTGGGTCCCGTAGTCGGGATGTGTAGCGCTCCGGATCTGTATTCACGCGTTTTGCGAGGCGGGCGAGAGCACGTTCTGTGTATTCATTTCCCATTACCTCATATAAGTATAATTTCTCTTCGGGTCTCAACGTCCTTGCAGCGCCTACGCGACCTTCTACGCATAGAGGTGTAGCATAAGCCACAGGTCTTCGAGCGGCGCTAGGAAAGTACTCTTTAGGGTCATTCTCTGTGTTTTCATGTGCCCCGGCTCCGGCGCAGCAGAGAAGTATGGCGAAGAGTCTTGACGGTCGCAGGAATACGGCTGCGATGACGGCTATGAGTGTTGCCTCTCGGTTCTGCAGAGCTGCGGCCGTGAGTAGAGCCACCCTTGTGGCGCGGAGTGCTGCGCGAGTGAGTAGTGGGAGGTGTGGTCCCCAGAGCATCTTTGCGAGGAAACCGCCGGCGATGGCGACTGGGAGGGCGATCCACCCGGCGCGGAGGAGGACGTCCGGCGGGGCGTGGGCGGCGAGGAGGGCACTCGCGGCACTGAGAAGACCCTCCGCGAGGGCCGAGAGGCCCCCGACGGCGAGGACGGCGAGAAGCCCGAGTTTCCCGAGCGTCATGCCCTGCAGCCGGCGGAGGAGGAGGAGGAGAAGGACGGCCGCGAGCACCACCACACTGCCGGCCCCCGCGAGGAGCAACTGGAAGGCCGCCAACTCCTCCAGCCACGGCTGCAGCAACCGCACAACGCAGAGGAGAAGCATCATCTTCAACCAAAACACATCAAATACAATGGACTCCTCCACATGAATGCTTACGGGAATACCATGAACTGAGGCAAGACGAAGACACACAGGTTTGGCTACAGGAACCTCAACGTCAAAGTGAAACTGATAATTATCCATATCCCCACGAAGTAAAACTTCCTTCGTTGCCATGGGTCGACTCCCAAACCATGCGGTAACCCATGATGGAAGCCATAAACTGCTCTTACGATGGGGTCCAAGTTCCTCAAAAAGGTATATATTTCCAACCGCTTTCAAAGAAGGGGATAATGCCTTAACAGAGGTGGAGACCCCAGAAAAGAGAGAAGAACTATCTCCACCAAAAATAAGTGAAAATAAACCTTGTATACCAAAATAGTCTGTTATACGATTCATAGATGAGGAAGAGTCTACGTTTGCCGCACGCCGTGCCTCAACAATATCTGTAAAATTGCATATGAGACGTCTAACATTCGTACCACTACTATTCTCTTCTTCACCTTCTACGGGTGTAAAGGAAGTTACACGGATACGACCAAAGGAGGCCATACTAAGCAATTGACTACCACTCGCTAAACCACCAGGTCCTGCATCTACTACAAAACGAAGAGAAAATTGACGTTGAAAGAAAAACCGTTCTATAGCCGCTGGATTACCCCAAGGGTACATCCGAAAGTTACTCCAAACATCAGTAGCCCAGTTAATTAAAGAAGTATTTTTACCTTCTTTTTCAATTTGTGCATCATTATTATTCAGTCGCCATGCCGACCCAACATTGGGTACATGATCACGAAGTGGACTTTGTAAACGTACTTCTGGTGATCCTAACAAAACTACTGCATCCGCACCAGAGCGAAGTAAACAAGATATACCCGGATGAATATTCTCAGTTGTTTCTGTCGTTTCTATCGTTGATGTGTTTTCTTCCTTTTCATTGGCTTCTAGATGAGTTGAAAGTATTTCCTGTACAAGAAACGGTTTTACCGTGTTACAGTCTGGAAGCTGCTCTGCCACTACCACTACCACTTGACATACAATAAGGAGGACTAAAAGATACACTATCTTAATAGAGAATGGAGGCATCAAGATGCTTCTCTAAAGGGCCTGAAAACTTTATACCCATCACCAATATAGAAAATAAGAAAAAAAAGGGAAGAAAAAAAAAAAAGATGTACAATGAGAACAATCCAATACAATTTCATAATATTTTCTCTCTCTCTCTCTCTCTCTCTCGCTAACCATGCGTCCTCTACTCCATGAAATAAGGGAAATAATAAGAAAAACAGTGCAATAAAGAAGAAGGGAAGAATAAGAAAAAAAAAAAAAAAAAAAAA